ACGGATGGTAGTACCGAACTGCTAACCTTGAGGTTAGCACCCCAACTTGTAACTAGTTCACTACCAGAGCTCCTTAATGAATAACCACGGTGTTTTCTAAATCTTCTTATTCCCTGTGCCCATGAAAATCTGGATTTTGGGCATGGAAGAAAGGGGATCTGAATGTAATATGTTGTTATTGTGTTGTTGTGAAGTGCCGTTGAGTTGGTTCCAATCCATAGCGACCCTGTATAGGGTTTCCAAGGAGCAGCTGGTGAGCTTGAACCACCAACCTTATAATTCAAATGGCTTTGCAGTCTGACGCACTAACCCACAGCGCCACACCAGGACTCCCATGGATGTAATATAGAAGTGGTTAAAGAAAAATCCTGTTATTTGAATTGGAAATATCAATGTAAACTCATAAAGCAATCCTAGCTCCAAGCATCCCTAAAACTTAGATTGTTGTTGTTGATGTTGCTAAGTGTCGTCAAGTCGGTCCCAACCCATAGCAACCCTGTAGAGGGTTTCCAAGCAGCAAGTGGTGAGTTTCAACTGCCAACCTTGAGGTTCAAACCGACCTTGCGGTCAAGTGCTTATCCTATAGTGCCACCACAGGACCATAATCCAATACTTAGATTATGGTCCTGTAATACCATTTCCCGGAGTCCTGGTGTGGCGCTGTGGGTTAATGCGTCAGACTGCAAAGCCGTTTGAACTGCAAGATTGGCAGTTTAGGCTCACCAGCTGCTTCTTGAAAACCCTATATAGGGTCGCTATGGGTCGGAACCAACTCAACAGAACTTAACAAGAACAACAACAATACCATTTCCCACAACAGAAACCAGGACCTCTTGGAGAAGTGGCTGGTTCTAGTTCTGAGTCAGGGAATGTGCACTTGTGAGTGTGGCATATCTTGTCACATCAAGACGTACCCACCAGCAACTAAAGGGTAGATGTGCCAGACAGAGGGGACGAGCACAGAAAGGGCAGCTTCATCTCTGACAAACACACTAAACTAATGCTAACTGGGATGTTATGTTTTGTCCCTTTGCATATATCAATTTTTAATTTACCATATAAGAAATTGTCAACTAGCTTTACCTATAATGAAAAAAATAAGCTTAGCTGATACTATAGGCCTTAAGACTTTGTTTTTAACGAGTCTAAATATTACTTAATTTTTCAGATGGCTATATAAAAATTCTTTTAAATAGAGTACAAGAAGTCTTTTAGTAAACTAAGAAATTATTCAGAGCTTGTGTATAAACTGGAGAATTTCTAGACCGCTTTTAGCTCTCAATAGAAAATTGAAGATTCTTCATGTTGTGAGTGTTTGAAACAACATACAAAATCAAACACAAAGAACAGAAGCATAACCAACAACAAAAGTACCACCTTAAACTGACCCCCAGTTTTCTTTCCTTTAAGAAGAATTCTTCTAAGATTTCCATCTCTCCTTGCAGCCCTACTCTAGGAACTTTTCAATGAGAACCAGATGCCATAGGTTACAAAGGTGGCAAGTGTGAAGAGAAATGGTGAAATATTTGTGGGCTTCACACATCTCTAACCCAGGACTTTTTATATTCCTCTTTGATCCTAAGGTATAAAAATCCAGCCAATTACACTCTCAGAAGTTGCCCAGGCAAGATGAGTGGCTGTGGTAACTAGCCTCCAAGATGGCTACCAACGATTCCCACAATCCCCTACTTCTGGTATTCACACAGTGATGTGGCTCCTTCTCAGACTATAACAGGGTTGATTTGTGACTGACAGTAATGTTTATGACCACAATTAGGTTGTAAAAGACTCTGGCTTCTATCTTGGGCTCTCTCTCTCTCTCTCTCTCTCTCTCTCTCTCTCTCTCTCTCTCTCTCATCAATTGCTCTAAAAGAAGCTAGTTACCAAGACTTGAAGAGATTTAAGCTCTGTGGACACAGACAAGTTACAAGAAAATGAGGTCGTCTCGGTCCATTATCATCCACAAGGATACTGGCCTGCTAAGAACCACATAAACCTTTTAACCCCAGTGAACATTAGAGAAGCTTACAGTCTTGACGGGCATCTTGAAAGCAATCCCAGAGAACACCATGACGCAGGAAGTTAGGCCAGTAACTCAGCTAGGCCACTCTTGAATTCCTGACTGACAGAAACTGACTTCTGGGTTCATCTATTAGGTAACAACAAATAATATAGTAGCTTTCAAACTCTCTGACTATGACTTACAGAAAAGTGCATGCATGCACCTACCACACACATATACAAGCTCATATGCAAGGACTGCTTCATAAAACAACACTTATCCTTACCATATGTGATGTACTCTGCTATTTTCTTGGTCATTGTTTCCTATCACATTCCATTCCATTTCAAAGAAAATGATAAAGTGATCCACTAAACTGATTTCACTGTGGGGCAGGGTGCAGAGGAGAGAGGAAGAAAATCATCTTTTCTTCTATCTCATCTGTCCCTGGTTGATGTCACAGCAGCCAAGACCTGAAGTGACTCACCTTCAAGGCAAGTCTATTTTGTTTTTTAATCTATTTCCTTCTGCATACAGTAGGTGCCAAATTGTGCTTGCTGTTTGGTTCTGGGTTTCATTATGGTTGGAAATAGGATTTCTGGTGACATTACAAATGACTTTTCTCTCTGTTGTTGTTGTTAAGTGCTGTGGAGTCAATTCCAACCCATAGCGACCTTGCATAGGGTCTCCAAGGCTGTAAATCTTTACGGAAGCAGAAAGCCTCATCTTTCTCCCACGGAACCGCTGATAGTTTCGAACTGCTGACCTTGAGATTATCATCCCAATTCGTAACCACTATGCTACAGAGCTCCTTTTTCTCTCTGTAGTGTTTAATAAAATGTTTTACTCATGAAAACTTAGAAACCTATATTCAGATTACAGCTGGGAAGTTGTTGTTGTTGTTAAGTACCGTGGAGTCAGTTCTGACTCACAGAGACCCTGCACAGGGTTTCCAGGCTGTCAGTCTTTACGGAAGCAGAAAGCCTCATCTTTCTCCTGCAGAACTGCCCAACTCGTACCACTATGCTACCAGACCTGGGAAGTAAAACGTTAGAAATACCCTGTATAACTTTCCCCAAACCCAACCTGCTCTCTTCTACTATAGAAGTGATCTCGATCCTAAAATTGGTTTTTTATCTCCAAGTACATATTTTATAGTTTTCTTACCTATAAATAGCTAGCTAGCTAGCTAGCTAGGATAGGTAGGTAAGTAGGTAGCTAGGTAGGTAGATAGAAAGACAGAAAGACAGACAGACAGACAGACAGACAGATAGATAGATAGATGAGTTCAAAAAAATTTGTAGAAAAATGTCCACTATCTTTCAATTCTATTTTTCTAAGAATGTTTTGAAGCCCTCCTCAAATATAGGCTTATGCTCAGACAGGTTTATTGTCTATACATGTGTCATCATATGGGACCTAACCTTTTGTAACTTTTTGCTCCAATATTGTAATTTTGACATTTATTCACTGACTCTAGTCCATTCATTTTAATTGCTGTGTTTCACTGTGTGAATGGATCTAAAGTCATTTGTCCTTTCCTCTCACTACGAGTTGGAAGTAACTTGAAGGCAAGTAATAGCAACACCAACAACTAACTTCTGAAGTCTAAGATTTATCAAAGATGAACTCAAGATACATTGATAATCATGTGTTGGTGATTGGAATATGTAAGTTAGAAACAAAACAACAACAAATGCTGGCCAGGGTGTGGAGAGACTGGGACCCTCTTACACTGCTAGGGGGACTGTAAAATGGTGCAACTGCTGTGGAAAAAAGTATGGCTCGTCCTCAAAAAATTGGAAACAGAAATATGGTATGACCCAGCAATTCCTCTGCTGAGTATATATGCTCAAGATATAAGAACTCTGACACAAATAGATAGATGCACATCCAGTATGGGTTCCACCTCAACATAAAGAAAATAAAATACTGAAAATGTCAAGGTTTCATTTTACTTGGATGCACAACCAATGCCCATGGAAGCAGCATTCAGGAAATCAAATGATGTATTGCTGCCGCTACACTGTGCTGATAAGTCAGTTCTGACTCACAGTGACTTTGTGGAGCATTTCCGAGGCGGCAAATTGTTATGGGAGCAGAAAGCCTCATCTTTCTCTGGTGAAGCAGCTGGTGGATTACAACGTATTAGTTGGGGCAAATGTGTACAAAAGACCTCTTTAAAGTGTAAAGGTGTCACCTGAACCCAGCCATATTTTGAACTGTCTCATATGCATATGACAACACCATATAGTGTCGGCAAAGGATGTGGATCACCAGAAGAACAAAAATAGCTGTTTTGGAAGAAATATAGCCAGAATGTTCCTTTAAAGCAAGGATGGCAAGACCTTGTCTCACGTCCTTTGTTCACACTATCAGGTCTCACCTCTGGAAAAGGACATCATGGTCAGTAAAGAGAGTCGGCAGAAACAGAGGACAGTCTCACTCGGAGAGACGGCCAGATTGTGGAGGGGTGCCACGGGACTCGACAGTGTTTTGTTCTGTTAACAGAGTCACTGAGGCAGAAACAACTCAACCACAGTATAGCAGGTGTTGTTAAGTGCCGTGGAGTTGGTTCCGACTCATAATGACACTCTATGGGGTTTCCAAGGAGTGGCTGGTAAGCTTGAACTGCCTTGCCTTGCAGTTCAAACCAACCTTGCAGTCCAGTGCATTAACCCACGGCACCACACCAGGGCTCTGAGAGAGTGAATTCTGTGGAGTCCGTCACCCCTGCACCCCACCCAGCTGTCTGCCCATATATCCCAGGGGCCAGGGTATACCCAGCTTGACTCACTGACGCCACAGCCCCTTCAAGACGCCAAGTGACCAGCATAGTGCTGACTCCTTTGAAGGGTTCCCCCTGGAGCCCAATGGTGTGCTATGCTCAGCTTTGCTCTGATGTTCACAGACGCACTTTCCCAGCTGACTTTCCATCACAGGGACATGGATTCAGTACTCAGGGGCATAGTCATGGACAGCCCCCCGCCGGCCTTACCCCCGGGCACGCAATGGAAGCCGTTTCCCTGGTAACCAGGCTTGCACTGGCACGTGAAAGAGCCGGGAGTGTTGTAGCAGAAGGCATCTGGGTGGCATCTGCTTGGCTGGCACTCATCCACATCTGCAAAACAGCAACCAGGCCCAGGGACCCTGAGGACTCATCAGAAATTCACACTTTATAAAATGACTTCAGCCGCCTGCCTAACTCTACAGGGACCTGTTTAAGCAGTCTTGATGGCACACTGGGATAAGCGTTGGACTGTTAACTGCAAGGTTGGCAGTTCAAACTAACCAGTCACTGAGAGGGACAAAGATAAGGCTGTCGGCATCTCTAAGATTTAGTCTCAGAAACCTGATACATTGTTAGTTGTTAAGTGCAGTCCAGCCAGGTTTCTGAGGAGCAGCCAGTGGGTTTGAACCATGGACCTTGTGGTTAGCAGTCCAGTGGTTATCAGACAGCACCACACCAGTGTTGTCTTAAGTCATGATTAACTCAGTAGCGATGGCTTCAGTTGTTTTTTTGTTTTGTTTTGTAAACATTAGTTATCAAAATGTTAAATCCCCAATTTCTATCTATTGTACTTAGAAATGTGCTTCACTTTGTTGATAGTATTTTTCATGTTTTCTTTTGAAAATAAAATTTGCAAAAGAGAGGATTCTTTTGAATTATCAAATGATCCCATCTTTCATAAATGAGTTTTGAAAATATTATTATTTTGGTGCATGTGGAAGAACCTCAGAGGAGAAAATTCATACTCAGTAAGAAACAGGAAGCAGCTCAGAAATTAGAACCTATTTTATAAAGTTCATACTTTTCAGAAACAGTCCACTGTGCTAGTGTTGCCATCTGCCATAGAATTGGCCCCAACTCCTCGTGATGCGGGCACAACAGAACAAAGCGTTGCCTGGTCTTATGCTGTTCCCAGGATTGGTTAGACTTCAGACCATTGTGATTCGGGCCTTTTTCCTAGTCAGTCTCAGTCTGGAAACTCCACTGAAACCCATCCACAGCATCATGCAAGTCTCCACTGCTGTGTGCAGGGGCTGTGGTCTCAAACATATTATTGTTGTGAAGTGCCACTGAGTCGGTCCCGAGGAGCGGCTGGTGAATTTGAACCACCGACCTTGTGGTCCAGTGCATTATCCCACAGAGCACATGACTCCACATGGACTCCACATGGAAGGTGGCCATTCTATTACTAAATCACTACTGCTCCGACTCTGTTGTACGCTGTTACATAATTCTGCAAATCAAGAGGCCTGGAGTACTATATTCCAAGTTATCTAAAATGAAAATTTTCCCTAAGAGTATTCTGACAGCCAATGCTGAGCTGATCTCAGGTCTGAAAGACCCTCTTTTTCAGCAATGGGACTTCGCTATTTTAGAGGAGCACATGAAAGCAGGCCAATTGAGTGACTGTTATATGTGTATGTATCCGTAAAGAAGGAGAGTCCTGGTGTGGTGCTGGAGGGTAAGCACTGGACTGCTAACCACAAGGTCGGCAGTTCAAGCTTACCAGCGCTCCTTGAAAACCTTGTACAGGGTCGCTTTGGGTCAGAACTAACTTGACAGCACTTAACAACAACATATATATATGTAGAGAGAGTGAGCGAGCGAGTGAGTGAGAGAGATTGAGAGAGACTGAGTGAGAGAGAGAGCAAGTTGCAATGTGGTGCTGCAGGATAATGAACCACTGAACCGCCAGGTCAGTGGTTCAAACCCACCAGTTGCTCCTCGGAAACCCTATACAGGTCGCTATGAGTTGAAAACTACTCAATGGCACTCAATAATATATACCAGTGAGTTATAACTCTTAGCGACCCTATACAAGGTTTCCAAAGTTCTAAATCTTTGAGAGAGCAGAAAACCTCATATTTCTCTCAGGTACTGCCTGGTGGGCTTGAACTGTGGACCTTGGGGCTCACAGTTCAAGGCTTATCATATGGCGCTACCATGGTCCCATATATAAATACATACATATGAGTTCTGGTGTGGTGCTGTGGGTTAATGCACTGGACTGGAAAGTCAGTTTGACTGCAAGGTTGGCGGTTCAAGCTCACCAGCTGCTTCTCGGAAATCCTATACAGGGTTGTTATGGGTCGGAACCGACTCAATGACACTTAACAACATATATACCTAAAGCCCACTGCCACTGAGTCAGTTCTGACTCATAGCGACCCTGTACAGGGTTTCCAAGGCTACAAATCTTTATGGGAGCAAAAAGCCTCATCTTTCTCCCATGAAGCAGCTGGTGGGTTCAAACTTCCGACCTTGTGGTTAGCAGTCCACATGTAAGCCGCAGTACCACCAGGGCTCCTTTTACACAACAGAATGAAACTTTCTGGGAAGGAATGGGTAGGGAAGACATGAGAGTTACCACCTAGGGGACTTCTCAGAATCAGCAGCAGAAGCACTCACCTCGGCAGGCCCGGCCATCCCCGGAGAAGCCAGGCAAACAGGAGCAGCTGTAGGTAGAGCCCCCGGTGTAGACGCACTGGGCCCGCTGGGGAATGTCACAGTCGTGGAGACCACTGAGACAGTAGTTGATGGGGCGCTGGTCTGCAACAGCTTAAGAACACAATTAGCACACAACTTTAGTCTGAGGGAAAGTCCTGTGAGCAAGCTCCCGCCGCACCGATGGTTTTCTTCCACCAGGTTCTCTGAAGTGGGCCTTCCAGGTGTCACTCCTGTAATCATCACTGGCTTTCAGGCCTGTCCGCCCACCTGCCGCTGACTACTCGCTTTCAACGCCAGACTCCAGGACTCTGTCTCAGGCCCCGCTCTGAATTCATAACAGATCTCAAAGACCCAACTTCCCCTCTCTGAATGTGGAATGGACACACTTCCTAGGGCAACTGTCTTAGTGCGGAGCTTGCAGTGACTGAGACTTTTCTACCCTGTGTAGGCAGAACACTGCCTGTGAATGCCACCCACTGCTCACTCAACAGAGAGACTTTTCCAGGATAGCGAGGGTACAGGGTGGAGAGACTGGCCTTTGGGGACCAGCCCTAGGTTGACACCAGGTACGCTGTTGTCCACCACACAGATTTGGGTAGACCATAAAACTTCCAGGAGGCTCACGTTCCTCCCCTGCCAACCAGGAATGACCTGAGGTTCGCTGGGCAGTGAGGCACAACTCCTGAGTCTGTGCAATCAGTTACTGGGAGTTGCACTGAGGGACGGACAGAGTGGAGAGGGAAAGGCTTGGAAAAAACAGTAGGCTCCAAAAAGGACATAAAAAGACTAGGCACTGGGGCATCATTTTTCTACTTTCTTCATTTCTAGATCATTCTAGGAAAAAAAAAAAATACACCCTGTCCTGGGACAATCATAATGGTCGGAGAAATCCATGTGGAAGCAGGTCGAATAGTTGTTGTTAAGTGCCTTCGAATTGGTTCTGACTCATAATGACTGTATATAGGGTTTCCGAGGAGCAGCTAGTGGGCTTGAACCACCAACCTTGTAATTAGCTGTCCAGTGTTTATCCGACAGCACCACACCAGGACTCCAGGTTGAATCGAGGGCTGAGGAACAGTGGAATGAGATGAAAACAGGGGAAGGGTGGAGATGTAACAGGAAGAAGGACACACCAAGGAACAGACATCACCAATAAGGAGGAGAAAGGGCTGGGAGCAAAGAGTTGTGGTTGAGTCTAACGCAACCCCCTAGCGACCCTCTGTACGTCAGAGTAGAACTGAGCTCCAGAGGGTTTTCAAGGACTGATTTTCTGGAAATATATCACCAGGGCTTTCTTCCAAAATGCCTTTGGGTGGACTTGAATCTCCAATAACTTTTAGTTACTAGCTGTTTGCCCCATTCAGGCACTCCAAGGTTGGGTGCAGACCTCTAACTAAGGTCTAACAGTGTGGCTGGCAAAGGGGGAAACATTAACACCAGTGAGTAGCTTGCCCTACCCCAACCCTGACAGTGGGAACTACACTTTCCAGAGCTACATTGCTGTGGTGGTGGTTAGGTGCCATCGAGTCAGTACTGACTCAGAGCGACTCTATACACAACAAAACGAAAACACTGCCCGGTCCTGGGCCAACCCTTCAATTGTTGCTACATCTGAGCCAGTCACTGCTGCCACTGTGCCAATCCATCTTGTTGGGGGTCTTCCTCTTTTTCTCCGTTGCTCCACTTTACCAAACATGATGTCTTACTCCAATGACTGACTGGTCCCTCCTGACAATATGTCTGAAGTATGAGAGATGAAGTCTGGCCATCCTGGCTTCCAAGGAGCACTCTGGCTACACTTCTTCCAACACGGATCTTTCTGTTCTTCTGGCAGTTCATGGTACTTTCAATAGTCCCCTCCAGCACCAGAACTCAAAGGCATCAATTCTACAGTCTTCCTGTTCACTGTCTAACTTTCACATGAATATGAGGTTACTGAAAATACCATGGCTTAGGTCAGGCGCACCATACACCAAGAGCTACAGACACCAAGCCATATATCACAGAACTGTATCCACTCAGAGAGGCCACCTCAGCCTTCACACAAAGGTGACTTGCAGTCAACTTGAAGCTCATCTTTCCTTCATGTAAACATATTATGCATTTTCCAATGAACTATAAGCGCTTGTCTCCGGCGGAAAACAGAAAACTACCGGTTTATTGAAAATATCAAATATGGAAGCCTCTTCTGTTAATGGGTCACAATCCTTATGGACATACCCAGCATGCCACGTGGCCCTCGAGGGCTTGAGTAGAGTCCCTAACAGTTGACAGGGGGCAGAAGCAGCCTCCTAAACTGTTGGGATTATTTTCCCACCCTTCCCTGTTTTGACCCAGAAAAAAAAACCCTCCTAGTCCCAGCATCTAACCCAGGATACTGTCTTAATACAGCACTCCAGGACAGGTGAGACTGACCAATGGCAAAGCTGCAGTGACATGTTTGAATGAATTTCAGCAGATTTGGTTTTATAGTTAGCCATTTCATGGTGTAGTATGTCTGAAAGGAGCTTATGAAAGGGGGTGTGTGGGTGGGGGGGATGAGTGGAATGGAATGGGGTCAACAGGCAGTAGAAGGATCAGGGAACTTCATGATGCTAGAGCTGAGATTAACCTAATGATCATCCAGTGGTTTCCACACTTGGTTTTGAGCAATAGAACACAGTTTTCCAAAATCTTATCAGAACGTGATCTAGAGGGTCACAGGGAAGTCTGTATCATTTTGCAGCTCTCAGAGGGACGCCCAAGGGCTCTTTGGGACACCACTAGAAAACGAATGAATGATGCAGTCCAATTGTCCCATCTCTCAGATGAAAAACTGAGACCAGAGAGGTGAAGTATCTTCCCCCAAATCAAATGCCTGGTTTCACTGAATAGTTTTCTTCTTGTTCAAATTGGTCTGGTGATGAGGGGGACAGGATTTTATGATTCGTTTGTGAGTAAGTGTTACCAGGACAAATGGCGATGGTTCAGTACTGTAAATGTAGAAGAGGAGCAACTAAAAGCAGGGAACAGTTAATCAGTCATTTCAGGAACAGAGGACCCTGGGACCATCAGGAGGGAAAAACATGAGAGGAGCGAGGGACCCTAACCAGAAAAGTGGCGACAAAAGAGAAGGCGGCAGAGCTGAAGTCATAGAGAGACAGAGCAGCAGAGGGCTACAGGTCCATGGATGAGAAAGGAAGTGTGCCTGTGGACAGGAGGCTGGCTTGCAGAATGTGCCCTTTGGATATTTAAATGAATATTTATTTTCAATGCAGGATGTGTAAATAAAAAAAATGTAAAAGGGTAATAGAGGTAAATACCTTTAGCTAATGGTGCAGGGAAGACATTTACATTGCAATGATTTGCTGAATGTAAAACTGATGATGTGACCTGCAAACCTTCACTCACTCAATTCACAATAAAAGCATTCATAAACAAACAAACAAACAAAATGCCTGCAAGTGGGCTTTCCCACACCACTCTCAGCCTGCAGTGAATGTGGAAGTCAGGAAAAGACCCAGACCAGCAACCCATTCTCAGGACAACCTGACCCAGGACAAGTCTCATGACTGCACGGCACCACCCAAGGGGTGCAGCACCCACCCCCTGCTGCACCAAATGGCGATGAGAGTGGAGTACTGCCAGGGAAAGGTTACTTTCAAATCTCCTCTCCTCGAGAGGCAGAGGAGGAAGTCAGGCTGAACACACAGAATTAGATGTTCTCTGCTGAAAACTGAAATCTCAGCTGTGGGAAAAGGCAAACTGGCCCCCCCTCAGTTCACAGATGTTTGAGTCATGTTCAAAAAACGAGAACTGCCTGTTCTTACATTCTCCAGAAACAACTTCACCCTGGGACCTCAGGGGCCTCACTGGAACGTCAGGATATAAAGCATGCTAAAGTCAACAGTGAGAAGGGACAAAGATACGACCCACAGATACTGTAAGAGAGCAATCGGACTTAAGTTGGAAAGAAATACACAGTTCAGAAGTCCCATTCCGCACACTACCCTCCAGACCTGGAAATCTCCAAAAGTCTTTGAACTTACAATTTTCGGACCCACCAGGCTATCGTGCAGTGGTAGGAAAAAGAAGGATGACTTAAACAATCTGGTTCTTTGTGGTTGGCCACTCACCACCACCACCATCATCAACAGAAACATAAATAACTTAATCGGGCTGCTACCCTCAAGGTCAGCAGTTCGAAACTACCAGCTGATCTGTGGGAGAAAGATGAGGCTTTCTGCTCGCGTAAAGATTTACAGCCTCGGAAACCCTGTACAGGGTCACTATGAGTTGGAACCAACTCTATGGCACATTACCACCACCATCACCATCATCACCATTTTACTTTAATAAGGCTAGGAAGTTATGTTACTTCTTATAAAAATAAGATCCATAAATAGCCAGTCTCCAAATGGAGTTTTAGATGTCAATAAGGTAGAATTCAGCAGCACGCAGGTAACGAAGCAGGTGTCTGTTACATTCAATACTTGGTACCATAACAGAAAGGGGGCAGGGAAAGGCGCCAAATCCAGTGTTTTGCTTTAAGTCATTCCCATTAATAAAATTCCACGTATTAAAGTACTTATGTATATCAAAGATTGTGCTAGAAAGAATTCCAGCTGCAACATGGAAGGTTTACAAAACTCACACATATAAAACAATTTGAACAAGAGAAAGGAAGAAGGCTTTCTCCAGTCCTCTCAACATGAATTCCAAGACCACAGTGTGATACAGTAAATTACATGATGTAGCTCATCTCACCATAGTCTTTGGAACTCCCACCAAATGACTAGATTGTTGTTATTAGGCGCTGTCGAGTTGGGTCCAATTCATAGTGTCCGTATGCACAGAACAAAACACAGCCGGGTCCTGTGCCAGCCTCACAATTGTTGTTACACTTGAGTCCACTGTTGCCACTGTGCCAATGATGACACTCTCCTTTGCTAAGCATGATGTCCTTTCTCAGGGACTGTCCCTCCTGATAACATGTCCAAAGTACAAGAGATGAAGTTTTGCATTCCTTGCTTCTAAGAAACATTCTGGGCATACTTCTTCCACGACAGATTTGTTTGTTCTTCTGGAAGTCCATGGTCCTTTCAATATTCTGGCCATTCTGGCTTCCAAGGAGCACTCCAGCTGTACTTCTTCCAACACAGATCTGTTTGTTCTTTTGGTAGTCCATGGTCCTTTCAATATTCTCCTTCAACACCATAACTCAAATGCATCAATTCGTCTATGGTCTTCCTTATACATTATCCAATTTTTGCATGTATATGGTGGTGGTGGTTCATAAAATGTCGTGGAGTTGGTTCTGACTCACAGCAACCCTGTACAGGGTTTCCAAGGCTGTAAATCTTTATAGGAGCAGAAAGCCTCATCTTTCTCCCACTTACATGCACATGAGGTTACTGAAAATATCATGGTTTGGGTAAGGCATACCTTATGGCTTGGGTAAGGCATACCTTAGTCCTCAAACTGACATCTTTGCTCTTAAGCCCTTTTAAGAGGTCTTGTGAAGTCCAGTTGTCTAACACAATAGTTGTTTAATTTCTTGACTGCTCCTTCCATGAGCAGTGATTGCAGATCCAAGCAAAATGAAGTCTTCAGCAACTTCAATCTTTTCACCATTTATCTTAAGTTAACGGTCCAGTGGTGCGGATTTTTGTTTTCTTTGCATTGAGGTGCAATCCATACTGAAAGTTATAGTCTTTGATCATCATCAGCCAGCATTTTAAGTCTTCTTTGAGTCCAACATGCAAGGTTATATCCTCTGCATATCGCAGGTTGTTAATGAGTCTTCCTCCAGTCCTGATGCCATGTTCTTCTTCATATAATCCAGCTTCTTGGATTTATTTGTTCAGCATACAGATGAATAAGCATGGTGAAAAAATACAACCATAGTACACACTTCTCCTGATTTTAAATCATTCAGTGTTCCCTTGTTCTGTCCTTGAGCTATGTAAAAGTTCCTCATAAGTACAATGATGCATTCTGAAATACCCAACGTTTGCAATGTAGCTATAGTTGTTATGATTCACACAGAGACTGGGTGGAACCATGCAAATAAGGTTTATGGAACTCTAATGTGAGCACTGATTAATTTTTCCATCCGACTGGGATTTAAACGAGCCACCTCAAAAGTAACAACAGCAGGGATCTCACTGCCTTCAAGAAATACAAGTGAGGAGTGGAGCATGTCCTCTCCTCTTCTCCCTGAGATCCCTGCATCCTGAGCCTGCTTGATCCAGGAAACGGAGTTGTAACCCTAGACAAATGGCTAAGAAGTGGTAGAGAAGTTGTAGCTGCAAGGACCAAGAACCAGAGCACCATTCAGCATGGTGGGCTTCCCGGCCCACAGGCAACTGAAGCTGAGTGTCTTCAGGCAGGACACATGCATGTGATGTGGAGTGCCTCTAGGCACTTAACTGGGGGATCTAGGTTTATTGACACCATGGAGTTAGAGCTGAGCGCCTTCAAGCTAAGTTTTCTGGTGGAATAGCATGCCATTTTGGACATTTATCGGCAGTGTTCAAAGAGCTTTGTAACATTGTCTGAACAAGACAAGAGGTCAAGAACCAGAGAGAGGTGTGTCTGCAGTCACAGTTGAGAAGAACCTAGATTAGCCTGTTAACTTCCCTAAGAAATCCCATTTGTTGTTGTTGTGAAGTGCCGTCGAGTCGGTTCCGACCCATAGCGACCCTGTACAGGGTTTCCGAGGGTGTAAATCTTTACGGGAGTAGAAAGCCTCATCTTTCTCCCGCGGAGCGGCTGGTAGTTTCGAACCGCTGACCTTATTAAGGTTCGCAGCCCGATTCGTAACCACTACGCTACCAGAAATCCCATAGCCAGGAGTATTACCTGAGAGTTCCGTGTGAACCTAGCAGAGACGTAGGGGCACTAGGCAGGGAAAGCTGGAGTCAGAATTGATGAATAAGGTTGCAGAGTGGAGGGTGTCTGACCTCTGTCTCATAGGAACAGGCCTGGGCTGACATTCGCTTTGACTCTCTTTCTTCCTTGTGAGACCAGAGCCTGCCTCCAAGCCCTTCTTGTACAAGGGGAAACAAACCTTATTGTTTAATAGCTATTAAAGGTATAATGAAAAGAATTAAAAGGAGCTTTATGAAAAGTGAATATAATGCAAATACTTGCAAATCTATTAAAATGTTTATGTTTAACAGGTTAGTTGACTGTATTCCCAGTATAGGCAGCAAACCTGCTTAGTCCTCTACCTCTGACCCTCCGTGTCTTTGCAGGGGAGGGATTAAGTCTGAATTCTCTTTGTAAACTGCCCACCCCACCCCACAACTGGTACCTTCATCATAGCCTCGCTAATGACCAAGGCAGTACCATTTACACAGAAAAAAATAGGTACCATACAACTTACCCACACATGTTCCTTTGTCGGAAAACTGGTAGCCTTCTACGCACTCACAGCGGAAGGTTCCGGGGTGGTTGTTGCAGACCGCGTGGCTCCCACACACGGACGGCTGCTCTGAACATTCATTGATATCTGTACAAGTTGAAAAAAAAATTGCAGACTTTTTAAACCCCTCAGAAAGCATGTTATCTCTGAGAACAAATCAATCTTAAAATGAAACTCTATATTCTAACAGCAGTGTTAAATAAGATATTCTTCTGTGCATAATTTTGTTTAGAGAGAGTTCCTATGGCCCTTCTCTTAAGTCAGTGTGTGCTTGCCAAGTTAGGTGCCAAACCAGGGACCCACAATGAGAACACGAGACATCAGATTGGTAAACACATGTTACAAGGATGGAAAGACCAGTGTCTGGACTTTGAATAGGGTTTCTGAACTAAATAATATGTTTCAATATGGCTATTGGAATCCTGGTGTGGGGCTGTAGGATCAGCACTAGACTGCTCACCAAAATGTTCAAAGCCACCAGCCAGGCCTCAGAAACTCTACACAGGGTTGTTATGCATTGCAACGAACTTCATGACACTTAACAACTACAGTTGTTCCATAAGAGCCCTGATGATGCAGTGATTAAAGTACGCAGCTGCCAGCCCACAGTTGGCAGATCGAATCCACCAATCATTCCACAGGAGAAAAAGGGGACAGTTGGTTTCCTGTGGGGCAGTTCTTCTCTGTCCTAGGATCACCATGGGTCAAAATTGCCATGGCAACCAAGGAGTCTCTTGGTTGCATAAATCGTCAAGCACCCAGTGACTAACTGAAATGTTGAGAGTTCAAACCCACCTAGAGGTATCTTGAGAGAAAGACTACTCTTGGCAGCCTACTTCTGAGAGATCGTAGCCTTGAAACCCCAAGAAGCAGTTCTATTCTGCAGATATGGGGTCACTATGATTCAGAATGAACTCAATGACAAGCGTTTGGTTTTGGTTTGGGTATATTGTTAGAAAATCATACCTTTGTCCAATTACAGTTCAAAAAAAAAATCTGAACAATTTTAAACCCAATTGTGATGTTTGTCTTATTGTCTAGAACATACTGGACTCGAAGGAAAACCATAAGCTCAAAACGCTATGCATGCTCTAGTGGGCTGCTGGGATGCTGGCCTTTCTTCTGACAAGACAGCAGCCATCAACCATGAGGCAATGCAAAGCGAGAACATGTGTCTGAAGTTGTATGTTGTTGTTGTTAAGTGCTGTCGAGTCGGTTCTGGCCCATAGCGACCCTGAATAGGGTTTCCGAGGTTGTAAATCTTTATGGGAGAAGAAAGCCTCACCTTTCTTCCATGGAACCACTGGTGGTATCGAACTGCTGACCTTGAGGTTAGCAGCCCAACGTGTAACCACAACGTTACCAGCGCTCATCCAAAGCATCCTCTCCTCCCATTACAAGCTGTGTGATCCCTCTCTTACCCCTACACGTTACTGTCTTTACATAAAGACCATATATCTAAAGGGAACGGCAGCACTCCTGACCCCAGCATGGCTCTCAATCATTGTGACCAGTTTCCCTAGAGATGTGCACTTTCACCATCTCCCTGGTCGTCTGAAGCTGTGTGGGAAGCTGTGAGTGTACAAATGATTAATAAGTTTCGACCCTAATCGAAAGATTGGAGGTTTGAGTTTACCCAGAGATGCCTTCGAAGAAAGTCCTGGCAATCTGTTACCCAAAAGTCAGCCCTTGAAATTCTACGGAGCACAGTTCTACACACGGGGTTTCCACAAGTTGGAATTTACTCAACAGCAACTGGTCTGGTAGCTACATGTCTTGGGCATGTCACCTCACTATTCAGCATCTGTTTATTTCTACATTGGTAAAAAGGCATAATTATACTTACTTAAGTATTATAGAATCACAGAAAATGGGCGGCAGCCAGAAAAATACCTAGCATGCTCAAGAAATGTAGCTATTATTATAATTTTGGAGACCCATCCTGTATCATCAGCCATGGAGAAGGATGTGGTTGATTCCATAACATGTCTCTCTGATGTCCACTAGGGTTTGAGGGCCCACTGGCTACCAACTACAGCAAGGCTGGTTGGCCAAGCCAAGAAACTGAGCAAATCTGTCACACAAGGTTCCTCATACTCAGTTACTTCTGGAATTCCTAGAACCCTGAGATGTGTGTGAGCAAGGTTTCACAATCCCCTCTCCACCCAGACCACCCTGTGCTTTATTGTGAACCTTTCACACTTGGAAGACAAAGGTCCATGTGCCTCTCATTCTCAGTCCAGTCAGCCCCTTTACTGGTAAAACACACATTTATTGGAACAACATTGCTCAAAATACACATCTTTCCCTTATCACTCCCATAATTTGCACTTTACCTAGGCAAAAAAAACACCCAAAAAACCCCAACCAAATGGCATTCAGAGCTATGTAAACTGAAACAAACGTTTTCATGAAACGTTTACGACACAAGACAAGGGACCTGTGCCGGGTACAGCCGAAGGTGCCCGGCACAGCTGGAAGGTCCCAGAACACAGCCCCTCCCGAAGCAGCCGCCCCCACAAATTGGCGATGGAGAGGGGCCTCTTCAAGCTTAGATTACAGAGCTCCGGCAGGCCAGCTGCTGCTGCTCCCAAGTCGCTCTGGCTTTTCTCACACAAGTCTCAGGGGACATTCCCTCCACAGATGCGCTGGACACACTGTGCAGACGGCAGAGTTCCAGGAATCGGACACGTCAGCCAAAGTACAACAGCACAGAGCCACAACATTCAACCAAGGGGACAAAGCCAAACCACAAGGGGGGATTGTTCAAGCTGTATCTCCTCAATTCTGGAGAGGGAAGCTATGTGTTTTGAAAAAGCTTTTTAGTGATTAGGAAAGCACTCTTTCCTCATGCTCTATCTAGAAAGCCAAGTGGCAAATAGGGCTTCCTTCCGGTCCCTTGGGATGGTCTCCACATATAGGCCAGGCTAGAAGATACCTTTTCTTTGGAGACAAGATCCTCCCAATAGCGCCACTAATATTGCACTTTGAATTTTTTTCCTAATGTCTCATTTCAATCCATTCTTCTGTAAATTAAGGAGCCCTGGTGGTTAAAGCACTGGGCTGCAAACCACCAGGTTTGTGGTTCAAACCCACCAGCAGCTTTTCAGGAGAAAAGTGAGGCAGTCTGAGTCTGCTCCCATGAAGATTTACAGCGTGGGAAACCCTATGAAACAGTTGTAGTCTGTCCAATGAGGTCACTCTGAGCCGAATAGTCTCGCTCCATGGCACTGAGTCTGGCTTTGGCTCATGGTGGTGGCAAAGTGGTTAAAGCACCTGGCTGCAGTACTGTAGCGGAGTATTGAATGTGGCTTTGTGACTCACATCAGATGACATTTCCTGCTGGGTCTGGGTATGAGATGGCGGGCAAAGATACTGACAGGGTGACAAGATTAAGCTGTGGGTGCAGAGAGTTAACTGCAATTGTAAAAACTTGACATTCTGCCATGGGTATGAAATGAGTCATCTCAGAATCACGAAAAAGGAGCTCTGGTACCATAGTGGTTACGAGTCGGGCTGCTAACCACAAGGTCAGCTAGTTCGAAACTACCAGCGGTTCCATGGGAGACAGATGAGGCTTTCTGCTCCCGTAAAGATTTACAGCCTCAGAAATCCTGTACAGGGTTGCTATGAGTCAGAACCGACTTCACAGCACACCACCACCACCAGAAACACGAGGGAGGATTTCACTACCATCAAAGAAGAGCCAGGAGTGGACCGTGTCCTTTGGACCCTGAGATCCCTGCACACTGAACTGCCCTGACCCAGAGACAGAAAGCTGTGACACCAGGGGATGGGCAGAGGAGCAGCAGACTCAAGAGCCTGAGCACAAATGGAGCACTGGGCTCCCCAACCCACACAGCAAGTATAGCTGAGTGACTTCAGGCCGAGGCTTGCTCTCAAAGAGTGGGGTGCCTCCAGGCATTTCAGTGGGGGAACTAGGTTTGCTGACCCACGGAGCTAGAGCTGAGTACTTTCAGGCTGAGGCTTAGGATAGATTGGTGTGCTTGTGGGCATTTGTCAGCAGCTCTAAAAGAGCTTGGTGACGTTGCCAAGACAGAGGCCTGCTTGAGGGCACAGCTGAGAAGAGGCTGTCCTGACTGGAAGATCTGTGCCCTGAACATTTCCGACCCTGAGTTCTAACCTGTTGACTTCTCTAATAAATCACCTAACTGTGAGTAATGTCTCTGAGTTCTGTGTGGCCACACTGCAAAGAATTACTGAACCCAAAATAGAAGAGTGTGCCGTGGGAGGGAGGGTTTGCTAACACTTTTTTCCAGTTGCTGAACAGAAAGTCTCAATGTCAAGAAAACAAAAATCCTCACCACTGGACCAATAAACAACATTCTTATCAACGGAGAAAAGACTGAAGTTGTCAAGGACTTCATTCTTCTTGGACCAACTATCAACACTCATGGAAGCAGCAGTCAAGAAATCAGAACGACGTATTGCATTAGGCAAATCTGCTGCACAAGACCTCTTTAAAGTGTTGGAGAGCAAAGGTGTCAGCTTGAGGACTAATGTGCACCTGACCCAAGCCATGGTATTTTCAGTAACCTCATATGCATGTGAAAGCTGGACAGTGAATAAGGAAGACCATAGAAGAATTGATGCTTTTGAGTTCTGATGTTAGAGGAGAATATTGAAAGCGCCACGGGCTGCCAAAAGAACCAACAGGTCTGTGTTGGAAGAAGTACAGCCAGAGTGCTCCTTGGAGGTCAGGATGGTCAAACTTCGTCTCTCATACTTCGGACATACTGTCAGGAGGGACCAGTCACTAGAGAAGGATATCATCTTTGATAAGGTGGAGGGTCAAAGAAAAAGAGGAAGACCCCCAGAGAGATGGATTGGCAAAGGGGCAGTATCTATGGGCTCAAGCATGGCAACAATTGTGAGGTTGGCCCAGGACCAGGCAGTGTTTCATTCTGCTGTGCACAGGGTCGCCATGAGTCGGTACCGACTTGATGGCACCTAACAACAACAAACAGAAAGTCAGCCACGACATCACAGGAGTTAACATTGTTGTTGTTGAGTGTTGTCGAGTCCGTTCTGACTCACAGCGAGCCTATGAGGAGCGGTTTCCAAGGAGCGGCTGGTTAACTTGAACCACTGACCTTGTGGTTTAAACTGGTTTTGCATTCCAGCACATTAGCCTGCAGCGCCACACCAAGACTCCTCAATTTACAGTCTTAAAAACCCTTATGACTATACCCTTGGAAACCCTATAGAGCAGTTATACTCCATCCTGTAAGGCAGCTGTGAGTTGGAAACAACAATAGTGGGTTTGGCTTTATTGATTTTCTGTAAATTATGGTCAGGACCTTAATCCTTACTTTAGTGGAAAGAGTGAATTGCTAATAACTGTCTCTCATAAGATAGAACCATATCTGTTTGAAGACTATTATTATTATTCAATATCTGGTCTACCTCTTCTCTGGTTAAGAGATCTCCTTGCCACATAAATCACATTCTAAACACAATGGGAAAATGCTAGATTGCTCTTAAAATTATTGCTTGCTCTTCATCAAAAACAAAATAAAATATCTATTTTTAAAGTACTGCTTCCTTTTCCTCTTCTTTCCCCATATTCTCAACAACTGCAAGTTTCTCCAATTTGTCTCTTTTATCAAGTGAAGGACCCTGTGATAAGATAAGAGGCTCATTATCAATTTGATAAATGTCTTGAGTGTCCTTGAAACACACTCATTGAGAAATTAACAAAACCGGCTCTACAGACTCTAAAGTGAAAAAGACACACAAGCCATCCTGGCAGGCACAGAGCCTTGTGATTCAGCTGTTGGTAATCTCCCCCAGTCAGAGGCTCGCTCTCTGATGTCTCCACCCAGACCTGCCCTGTTTGGGATGCCTCGGATCATTACACACATGCTGCATTTCAAAGGCTCATTCTAGTAGACAGGATGGGTACTCCCTCCCCACATCAACTCATACATGAAGTGATCTGCCTAAGACAGCTTCCTATGAAAAATGCATTACTGTCCTATGGCATGTTCTAGTGGCCCCGGACAATAAGGAGCTAGACTGGGAAAACACCCACATTCCACGATGCAAGTCGGTCAATACGAGGACAGAAGCAGACCATGACCACCTATCTTTCTGGGGGATGGTTTTAGAGGGGGCTTCTGTGATTGCAACAAATTACAAAAAGCATGGTGGGATCGTCCTCTGAGGTGAAGCCCCCGCGGTAACAGACTGGGGCGCCTCCACACTGTTGACACCGGAATTAAAGGTCCTGGGGCAGAACTCTTGCCTTCCATGAAGGAGGCCAGGGTTTGATTCCTGGCCAGTGCTCCTCATGTGCGGCACCACAGCCGGTCAGTGGAGACTTGAGCATTGCTATAAAGGCTAACAGGTTTCAGTGAAGCTTCCAAATTAAATTGGAATAGGAAGAAAGACTTGGTGATCTACTTCTGAAAATCTGTTAGGGATCACAATGGTCCAATGGCAGGAGGGAGCCAGGAGCCAATAACAACATGACACTGAAACAAGGTGGCATCAAACCTAAAGATGTGGGCACTTCTGCCGGAGAAATGAGGGCACTCATCCTCACTGAGAGGCAGGCTTCATCCACATGGAATCCCACGTGGTTCCAAGCCAGCCTGAGCTGATTTCGTCATAGAAAACAATCGGGGTCTTCCGGTAAAGGCAGGCAGGAACTATGAGGTGTCACAAAGGTTACGTCTCAGCCTGCACCGCATGCTTGCATCCTAGGCAAGCAGGCCAGGTCTTCACGGTGCCTGGGTCCGGCACGCCAGTGTCTGCCATCAGTTGTTTTAAGCACTTTCAAAGGTTTACTTCAAAGCAAATACACTGCTGCCTTCACAGTAGGGCCTTCAAGTTAAATCAGCAAATCCTCCAAAAACTGGGGTGGGGGGAAGGGTAGTGGGGGGGATGCTGGCTTGCAGACCCGAGGAGTCTGGGCTCACCAGATGTGACTATGTCATCTCACGCAAACATGGCGGGGCTGTTGATCTTTCTAAGCAGTTGTAGTTGAGTTGATTCTGACTCTAGGTGACACCATGTGTACGCCATAGGGATTTCTATGGAACAGATTGCCACGCCTTACTTCTGAGGTGCTTCTGGGTGGACTCGAACCGCTAACCTTTCAAAATGCAGCTAAGAGAATTAACCATTTGTATGCCTTTATTTTCCTAGTCAACCATATATTCCTATCCACCATTCATTCACTAGGAAAACCTATTTCTAACCTTCCCTCTGTGAATAAGTGTGCTCTGTTGCAGCATTTGAAGCCCTGCTGGTGGTGGGTTATAATTAACTTACACTTACAAACATGTAAACATCAAGCTGTGTACACAGAAGCATATGAAACAATTACAGGTGATGAATAAATACAGTGAGATGGTAGAGTAAAGCAGATGATGGACCAGAAACTTGAGTTCAAATCCTGCTTGGTCACTTGTTCACTTGAATGAGCTTCAGTTTTCTCATCAATGAAAACAAGAATGAAAGAATCAATCTCTTTAGAGTTGGAGAATTCAATGAGATAGTGTTTACAAAGCACCGAACTCTAATACAACCTGGGTAAATTATGGTGGTGGTGGTGGTGGTTATGTTCCATGGAGTCGGTTCTAACTCAAAGCTAGAGTTAAATTACTAGTGTTCGTAGAAGCAGCTGTCTGATATTAGCTTCCCTTTGAATCTGTGCCCTGGAAAGTTGGGTGGAGCACGGCCTTGGAAATTAGGCTTCTTCCAGCGGGTCTGTGTGGTCAACGGACAGACAGGGGCAGTACGTGAGCACCACCAAGAGGGCACTGAGCACGTGTGTCAGGATTCACCCCACTGGGCTTCCCCACTCCCAGCCCCCGAGCCCCACAAGTCAGATGAGGAACTGTACCCTGGCAGGTAGAACCGTCTCCTCGGAAGCCAATGGAGCACTCGCAGGAGAACTGAGTCCCGGGGCCGGGCCGACAAGCTGCGTTGGTGTCACAGCCGTGCGTACCGATGTAGCAGGGGTTCTGAAGGGCGTCTGGGGAGCCGTCTGTGAAGGCAAAGACATTGAAACTGAGCGAGTAATCCAGAACTCTTGTCACTCTCCTCCTTCCACACAACGGCCAACCAGGGTCCTGGAATGGGAAACCAGCTAGTTCATTGCCTAATTTGGTCAAAAGGCTATTGGAAACCAGCCATCTCCTTTCATTTATATATGGGGCCACAACAGGATGTTGTGTTGGGCTGCCAAACCCTAAATATTTATTATCTGATCCTTGAAGAAAAGAGACGTCAACTTTTGATGCCTAGAGCCACACACAGTTTTAAAATGAGAGACAAAGAATTCTGACTTCCTTCAGCTTCACGAAGCTAGATAAAGAAAACACTTGCACAGAGAGAGTGATCCAAACAACTGAAAAAAACTAAGACATTAACACCCAAACCCTAAATAAACAGGACCCCACACCATCAAGACTGGGATGTCGTGAAATCTGACTCTCTGAGATGCTGTGGTACCTCCCAGTTCTGTCCACCCCCCGCCCAGCCTGCAGCCAGTGGAGCCCTCCACCAGACTACACACCTGCCACACATGTGCACTAACCACAGAGCAGGCTTTAGGGCAGGTCTCCCAGTGAGTCTCAATTTCCGCAGGCCCCAGATATGTTCCTTTCAAGACTGAATGCTAGGTAATGTTCTAAATCCTGCCAGAGCTGGAGGCCTAGGATGGTCCACTCTGTATGGTAACTCTATAGGGTTGGCATTATTTAACAGCAAAAAGGTCTTCACTGACATGTTTCTAAGACTGACAAACATGACTATTTTTCTGATAGGAGGTATCTGAGCATGTCTTCTGCTGCTATACAATGCAATGCACAGAGCTGGGACTCTGAACACTGGGCATCTGTGTGTGCCCTGCCACCTCACTCACCCTTCACAGGACCAATGGAGTTGCTCAGGGCATACCGCAAGATCCTCTCTTCCTGGTTGTACAAGACAAACACACTGTCCACTGAGAGCTGTTGAGTGCTGGGCAGGGCAGGCCGGGCCTCGTCATGGGTGCACTGCTGGAAAGTGATGGTCTGCCGCCACTGGTAAGTGTAGGTGTGTGATGGGGCGACCCCACCCCGCTCGGGCTCCGTCACGGTGTACTCCCGGGTGGAGGAGGATGTGATCACTGGGGGCGAAGGCAGGTGACACAGTGGGAAGACAACAGAGAAATTATTAAGGACACACATGGTACAATCCAGAGCTTTAAGACTGTCAGCTATCATCCCTGCCTTTGATGGGTGGGCAGGTGGTCAGGCTAATAAGATGATTCCGTTCGGGATGGGAACACACTCATTACTTAGATTTTCCGTATGATTACTGGTGCATTTGCATTACTAAATTTGCTGCTTTCCCTCACCCAGTGATTCGTGCAAAGTTCCTAATACTCCCAGGACTAACCTGGTAGAAAAAGTACAGAATTGGAAACAGAGAACTATGCACTCACAGCCCCTGCCTCCGCTGTCCTCAGTTTCTTTTAAAGATTGGGTTTGGGCAGGGACTAGATGAGTCAGTAGCTAAAATTTCTAGAACTGAGCCGGCTAATCACAGCCACAGCAAAGGCCTCAAAGATGGTGGAGGGCTTTGTTCTGTTGTGCGTCAGTAAGGTCGCTACACGGTAAAGCCAACTCAGCAGCAACTAACAACCAGCACACCACAGCACTATGACAAATAGAAACTGCTGGTCACTGAACATTTACGATTGGACTACTGTTGTGAAGGGCCGTCGAGTCGGTTCTGACTCGGCAACCCTGTATAGGGTTTCCAAGAAGCGGATGGTGGGTTTGAACTGCTGATCTTGGGTTAGCAGTACAGTGCTTAACCTTCAGCGCCACACTAAGACCCCTACTACGTGACTAGCAGTGTGCTAACTGCTTTATATGTTGCTAAGTGCTGTTGAGTCAGTTCCAACTCACAGCGACCCTGTATAGTGTTTCAAGGAGCAGCTGGTGAGCTTGAACCACCGACCTTGTGGTTCAAACCTACCTCGCAGTCCAGCACATTAATCCTCAGTGCCACACCAGGACTCCCTACTGCTTTATATATAGGTCGTCTCACTCAGGATCCAATAAATAGTAGTACTACACAATCCTGGATTTAGCAGCCTATTATATTAAAAATTAGAAATTCAAAGGGTGTGTTTCAGTCCATTTCTGAAAACTTACTAAAGCACCATGAGCAAGCCTTGTTAAAGGAGAGGAGACCATCTTCCCCAATCAGAAGACGCCTGCTCTTCACCCATGCCTGAAACCCACAACTGACTATTTTTAGAATAACTATGAAAGAGTCTTTATATTTCTGTACCGTGCTACAGTTCCTTCCATGAAGAAGCAGAAAATCCAGGGCATAAATAAAAGCACTCTGCAAGCTGCTTCCTCTCTCCAGTCTGCACAAGGAGTCATCAGAAACGTCATCTGGCTTCAGGCAGCCTGCTGACCCGGATCCTGTCCGCTTCCCATTCCTCCCCAACCCCAAGCCATTCCCCAGCCGGAAAAGTCTAGCCAAGCCGTAAAGCCTTGGCTAATCGGTACCTCCTTTCTGGATAGCAATTTAATAAGAGTCTTTAATGAGCCCATATTGTTTGAACCTTCATTTCTATTTCTAGGAACTGAATCTTAGGAAAAGAATCAGACACTTGGCCAAGACTTATGATGAAGATGGTTATTTCAACATGTTAGGGGGCAGGGTGGGGTGGAGGAATGCGAAATAACCAAAGCGTTAGAAAGTAGGAGAATGGGTTAAGAGCCAAATAGGAAAATAATCAGATTAATTAACATACATATACAATATTCATGATTTGCTATTAACTGAAAAAGAGAAAACTGTGGTATGATCACAATTTTATTTAAAGAAAAAGTACCTACTTAGCTGTAGATTATAGACTGCCACATCACTGTGAAGGCGCTCTGGCAGCGTAATGGTTACGAGTTGGGCTGCAAACTGCAGGGTCAGCAGTTCGAAACTACCAGCTGTCCCGCGGGAGAAAGATGAGGCTTTCTGCTCCCGTAAATATTCACAGCCTTAGAAACCCTGTACAGGGTCGCTATGGGTCAGAAACAACTTCACGGCATATAACCACCACCTCCACCACATTACTGTTCAAAGTTTTATTTTGGTTACTGTGGCCAGGTAAGAGAATATTCTTGTTCTCAGGAGAAACCCTAGTGTATTTACGGATGCAGGATCATGATGTGTATCCTCAAAATATATAATTATAGATAAAAATTCTTTTATATGTGTGTGTACATACATACAGTGGCACAAATGGCTAACTCACTTAGCTGCTAACTAAAAGATTGGCAGTTTCAGTGCGCCGGTAGATACCTGGTGGTCTGCTTCTGAAATTTTACTTTCGAAAACTCTACAGAGAGTAACTGTTATCATGACTGATAGTGACTGTCACAACTGCAAAAGTAGAAGTTTTGTAACATAAAGAGGGGAGTAGTTAATCTTACAGTCCAGGAACAGAGGGTCCTAAGACCATCAAGGGAGAAGAGCATGAGTGGAATGTGGGACCCTATCCAGAGAAGCAGCGACACCAGTGATGGAGGCAGAGATGGGGACATGGAGAGAGGGAGCAGCTGAGGACTCTAGGTTCATGGAAAGAGAAAGGCTGTGAGGCAGGCTTGAAGATATGCCCTTGGGTTGTTTACATGATTATGTATTCCTGAGTGTTTTTGTGTACATCCAAAAAAGTAAACAACAGAAGGAATAGAAGCAAATACTGTTGAATGGTGATGCATGGAGGGATTGTAATCATGCAATGAAATGAAATATGACAGAATGAGTGTAAAACTGATGTTCTCCCATGTAAACTATCTCTCAATTCACAATAAAAGCTTCAAAAAACAAAACAAAACCCTATGGAGAACAGTTCTATTCTGACACACACAGGGTCACCATTAGTCAAGTCAACTCCATGACAACTGGTTGGTTGGTATCGGCAGACCTCAGAGAAATTGTAGGCTTGGCTCCAGATCACCACAACAAAGCATGTATCGAGTCACCTGAACTTTCTTGTTTCCTTGTACATCCAGAAGTTATGTTTATACTATACTGTAGTACATCAGGTATGTCACAGCATTATGAAAGTCTGAAATACTGTGGGAATTACCAAAATGTAACTCAGAGACATGAAGTGAGCACATGCTTTCGGAAAACTGACACTGATCGACTTGCTTAACGCAAGGTTGCCACAGACCTCTGATTTGTACAAAATGCGCTATCTGTGAAGGGCAATTTTGTATAAAATTGTATAAAGCAAAGTGCAAAAACCAAGGGGTGTGTGTGTGTATGTATTATGTGTATATGTATGCACACACACATAAACACACACAGTCTTAGTATAGCACTGTGGGATGAAGCACTGGACTGCAAGGTCGGCGGGTCAAGCTCACCAGCTGCTCCTTGGAAATCTTATACAGGGTCACTATGAGTCAGTACCAACTTTATGGCACATAACCAACACCATCACATATATATATGGTAGCATAGTGGTTACCAATCGGGCTGTGAACTGCAAGGTCAGCAGTTTGAAACTACCAGCTGCTCCATGGAAGAAAGATGAGGCTTTCTGCTCCCATAAAGATCTACAGCCTTGGAAACCCTGTTCAGGGTCGCTATGGGTCAGAACCGACTCAATGGCACTTAACAACAACAACATATATATAGGCCCTCCAAAAAGTCCATGGAAAGATTCCAGTATCTTTCCATTGTTCCATGAATGTTTTGAAGCCCCTTGTATGTATGTTCTTGTTAAGTTCCATCAAGTCGGTTCTGACTCATAGTGACCCTGTACAGGGTTTCTGGAGCTTTACATCTTCCAGGAAGCAGAAAGTCTCATCTTTCTCCCACGAAGCAGCTGCTGGGCTTGAACCGTGGACCTTGCAGTTCACACTCCAGTACTTATCGAATGGAGCCACTGTGTTCCCCATACATGTTGCAAAATTTTAACAGATAGAGTTGGACATATTATTCGCAGAAAGTCTTTATATACTAGCTTCAACTTCTGTGAAAGTATGAAATTATTAAAACATAAATATATTTTATATTTGTATGTTATAATAAAACTATATCATGTATTTTTAAAATACCACAAAGGGGCTTCCAAGGTTCATGGAAAGTGTCATTATCCTTAAATTTCTTTTTTTCACAAACTTCTGAAGGGGAGAAGTTTAGGTTTTACAATTATGTGATTCGCATTTTTTCCTTTGACCTAAATCAAGCGCATGTGCTGTTTCTGGCTTCCTACTGGGGCAGAGGGCAGCCGGCGGTGTTTCCGTCCAGCAGCACTTGCTTACCAGAGGGGGAGTAGTGATAGAGCTCCGTGTAGGGCTCGATGTGGACCGAGGAGCCGAACGTGATCTGCGGCACGCGGCCCTCCAGCTCGGTGTCAATGGTCAGGTGCCCATGCTCATCAATGCCACTGAAATGCTGTTTGATCACCAGCTTCCCTGGGTGTCCCACGAAGGTTACCTCGGCCTGCCGCATGAACTCACCCCCTGCAAAACAATGCCCATCTTGTGAGCTCACATCAGCTCGTTTCCAGAGCAACACCTTCAAACTCTCCCTGCCCACCCATGGTCCCCATGATGGCCAGGCACTTTCTGCAGATGAGTCAGGTTGGGTGGTAGACAATGGGACTGGAAAAGTGTGGACATCACGTGGCCCAACTGGGCCACAGAGAGCGGCAAGACGCTGCTTCCTTCCCAGGCACAAGCTGACCTCTGAGGCATGTTGGCTCCAGGCAGTTCTGGAAGAGCAGGGGGTCCTGAGTGTGTTAGAATGACTTCAGCCCTCTGAGTCTCCATCCCCTTATGAGAACAATAAGAAAATCGATCTTGTGGAAAGAGCTGTCAACTGTCATCTGCTTTCTGAGTGTAAATTATACGGGATGATGGTCACAACAAGTACATCCCGGTGAGGACGTATGAGTTACTCAGAGCAAACTGTCAGAACCCTATCTGAGGACCACTCACTGCTGGGACTGGCTCAGGGGTGCCACTTGTTTTGTGTAGGACAGTACCCTCAGACACAGAGAAAACATTCGTACCTTTTTCACAGGCCTTTTCCACACTTGGACACTTCCGTTATAGCAGGGGCTGGTAAACTACAGATATGTAGGATAAATACTGGGCTGCGAACCACATGTTTAGTGGTGCGAGCTTGCCAGATGCTCTGAGAGAGAAAGATGAGGCTTTCTGCTCCCACAAAGATGTACAGCCTTGGAAACCCTACATAGGGTCACTCTGACCCCGAACCAACTCGATGACACTTAGCAACAGCAACAAAGATGTTTTTTCCATTTTAAAAAATGGTTTTTAAATCAAAAGAATATTTCATGATATGTGAAGATTACATAAAATTTAAATTCCAGTGCCTATTAATAAACTGTTGAGCTTTGGTCACATCCATTTGTGGTTGTGTTTGAATCATGTTGGCAGAGTGGAGCAGTTGCAGCAAAGACCACATGACCTAAAATATTTGGGCAAAGCTTAAACCATTTAGTATCTGGCACTATGCACAAAATGTTCAACAACCCCTATTTTATACTGGAGTCCAGGTGTGACAACATGTGTTCTGCCAGAGACTTGTCTATCTTCTCCATGAAATCACCCCTTAACAGAAATGCAATGCTGAGAGGAGGCGGAGCAGGGGAGAGACAGGGTGCTAGTGTTAATGGGGTACATACAGACCCTGTTTGGGGTGACAAAAAGTTTTGGAAATAATTGATGATGAAAGCAATGACTTTTATGTTGTATACGTGGTGGCGGTGGTGATGTGCCATCGAGTTGGTTCCAATCCATAGCAACCCTGTACAGGGTTTTTGAGCCTATAAATTTTTAGGGGAATGGAAAGTCTCATCTTTACCCACCGAGCTCCTGGTAAATTCAAACTGCTGACCTTGAAGCTAGGAGCTCAGCTCATAACCCACTACCCTCCCAGGGTTCTGTGTTCTATACATCTTACCCAATAAAAAAGAAAGAGAATGCCAAGCCATCTCAGTTAATGCATACTAATGAAAACATTGAGCGATCACTTCTTACTGTAAGGCAGAACTGTAGGTTTCTCTCGACTATACACACAAAGGGGTCACAGCATGCTTTATCAGTAAGCTGTTTGCTAACATGGGATTCCTTTTCCACTGATCCTAGGTCCCACTCTGTGGCCCAGTGGTTCTCAGGTAGGATATAATTACCAGTGATGCTGAACCCATTCATGAATCCATCCTGCTCCACAGCAAACATCCATCCAATGATGCCTCCCACAGGGGCCAGGGGCAGCAGGGAATACCCCAGGGTCTCAGGAATGGTGCTGATGGCGGTGTAGGAGCGTCCGTGGTTCATCACGACGTACGAGTGGAGGTCAGTGTTCTCAAAGACAATGGGGGCCTGGCTGTTACCCACAAAGACCCGTCCCTTGACTTTGCCATTAACTCGCTGAGGGGAACCTGAGTGAGAAACAAAGAAAGACAGCAGATGATTCTGTGAAGTCAGCCTTTCCAGAAAAAACAATTTACCTGTTATGACTTGGATCTATTTATGAAGCAAGTAAGAGCCAACATAGCCCTGTGTTAAATAGCTGGGATAAGTGACAGTAGTTTTTCTAGTCCAGAGGATAATGCCAACGATTTTGTGGCACGGGCCTTCATACTTCAGTGTCTTTGCCTCTCTTTTATGTTGAGCAACAACAGGTGGATGAGCTTCAGGTCCTGTGTAACTGCTGTGTGAGCAAGAACTTGGGGGCAGATGCAACCTCTTTAGGGAAATAACCCATCCTGGCTCTTCTAGTGTCAGGGTGACTAGAATTTACCACTTTTGTGGGGAATGCAGGCAGAATTAGGCATTTCACTGGGGATTAGGGACAGCAGGGGTGGTCCTGGGGAATCGGTCCTGGGTGGTCCTATCTGTGGCACACATCACTAAGCATGAGCACTGGTAATCTGAGTGCCCGTACCTCATCCAGCTCAACCCTGAACAGAGAAGGGCACAGGTGGGCATGGCAGGCTGTGGAAACATGCCCACCAAAGCTGAGCCACCTGGGGTGGAATGCAGTTGTGCTTTATTGTTGATTTGTCCATGTAGGCAATCGGGGATATGTCACTAGGACCCACTATGGCAAATTTAATGGCTTCCTTAACAAGTTGTCAAACAGTGAAAGTCGGGTGGCAGCATTTGTGTTTTATAAATATATAATCAATGGCCAACATCACTCTCAATAGAAAGAAATAGAAAGCACTCCCCCTGCAGACAGGAACCAGACAAGGATAGCCTTCAATATTGTGATGGGAATCTTAGACAGAGCTATGAAGACCAAAGAAGAAGTAAAACTCTATTTGCAGATGACATGATCCTATACACAGAGAATCTTAAAAGACTCAATGAGAAAATTATTGGAACTAATTGAAAGATTCAGCAAAGTGGCAGGGTACTAGATCAACACACAAAAATCAGTTGGATTTCTTCACACTAACAAAGATGATGCTGAAAAAGAAGTCAGGGACCCAATACCATTTAAAAGATGAAATATTTAGATATAAATCTAACCAGAGAAACAAAAGGCCTATACAAAGAAAACTGAAAAGCACTACTACAAGAAACTAAAAGAAACCTACATAAATGGAAGACTATACCATGCTCATGGATAGGAAAATGTAACATTGTGAAAATGTCCATTCTACCCAAAGCAATCTATACATATAATACAATCCCAATTCAGATTCCATCATCATTCTTTAAACAGATGGAGAAACGAATCACTAACTGTATATCAAAAGGAAAGAGACCCTAGATACACCAAGCATTACTAAAGAAGGGGACAAAGTAGCAGACCTCTCGCTTCCTGATTTCAAAACCTATTACACAGCCACAGTGGTCAAAACAGGATGGTACTGGTACAACGAAAGACACATAGCTCAGTGGAGCAGAACTGAAAATGCAGTAGTCTATCAACTGACCTTTGACAAAGGGCTTTGAAAAGTGGACATTCATTTGCAGAAGAATGAAACAAGACACATATCTAACACCATACACAAAAATGAACTCATGATGGATCAAAGACCTAAATGTAAAACCTAGAATTATAAAGATCATCCATGAAAAAACAGGGACAAGCTTAGGGGTTCTGATTCGTGGCAGAAATTCACTATCAAACATAACTGAAAACACACTAACAGCAGAAGACAAACTAGATGACTGGAATCTCCTAAAAAGTATGCACATCCACAGATTTCACCAAAAGAGTAAAAAGAAAGCATACAGACTGGGGGAAAATAGTAGGCAATGACATACCAGACAACGGACTAATCTCTAAAATTCATAAAACACTTAGACACCTCACCGAGAAAAAGACAAATAATCCAATTAAAAATGGGCAAAGATCATGAACAAACACTTCACCAAAGAAGACATTCAATCAGTCAACAAACATAAGAAAACTCATGATAATTAGCCATTGTTCTTACCAAGTGCCATTGAGTCAGTTGCCACTCATTGTGTAATTAGCCACAAGGGAGATGCATATCAAAAACAGTGGGATTTTATCTCACCCAACATTAATAACAAAGGTCAAGAAAATGGAAAACAATAATGTTGGTGAGGGTGTGAAGAGACTAGAACCCTCCTACACTACTGTCAAGACTGTAAAATGGTGTAACCCTTGTGGAAAACAGTGTGGGACTTCCTCAAAAAGTTGGAAATAGAAATATCGTATGATCCAACAACCCCTCTATTTGGCATATATCCTAGAAAAATAAGAGTCGTGACAGGAATAGATATATGCACAATATGTTCATCACAACACTGTTAACAATATCAAAACGATGGAGACAGCCTGGTAACGTTCATCAATGGAAGAATGGCTAAACAAACTGCAGTACATAGACACAATGGAACACTATGCAATGTTGAAGAGCAACAATGAATTTGCTGAAGACCACAAGATATGGATGAACCTGGAGGACACTATGATGAGTGAAATTAGTCAATCACAAAAGGACAGTTATTGTAAGAGACTACTATTGTGAAAAATCAGGAAAAGGTTTTTGCACTAAAAGAGACCTTCTTTATCGGTTTACTAGGGGTGGGAGGGAAAAGGGAGTAGTTTACTGGCTAGAGGGTAGACACGTGTGGACTTGGGTGATGGTGGTTGTGGTTATGTGCTGTGGAGTTGGTGCCAACTCATAGAGACCCTGTACAGGGTTTCCGAGACTGTGAATCTCTACGGGAGCAGAAAGCGTCATCTTTCTCTGGTGGAACACCTGGTAATTTTGAACTGCTGACCTTGAGGTTAGCAGTCCAATTCGTAACCACTACGCTACCAGGGTGATGGGGAGGGCAAGATACAAGAAGGCTGGCACAAGAATGAGGATGGCATGGAAGATGCAGGGAGGAGTGCACGAGTTAAAAAGAACAGAGGTAAACACTGTTAGATGCACAATCCCACAATGACAGTGATATGCAGCTAGGTCTGTGGATGGATACACAGGCTGAATGGGTATGGGAAATTGGGCGTATACCCCCAGAATATAAAGGTTTGACAGAGAATACGTGTACTTGGGATATTTACCTTCGCTGCAAGCATAGTCAAACCTGAATGGTGGTGGAGTATACAAAATCATGAAAACGTCTTAGACATTACCAAACACAATGAAGGCATAAATTGCTGGGTCTGTGGGTTCAGGACCATAGTCTCAGGGACACCATGGTCAATGGACGTAACATAGTCCACAAAGACGATGTTCTGAGTCCTACTTTTGTGAGCAGTGCCTGGAATCTTAAAAGCTCATGAGCTTTTGATACAATTATTCGTCTCTCCCTGTCCAAAGGAAAGAAGAATGATGAAAATTGAAGATGCTTAGAAACAATGAGTCCATGGACTAATGGACCATGTGAACATCAGTCCCCATGACCCTGAACTAGATGGTATCCACCTACCTCTACCAACTGCTCTGAAATGGATCACATTACAAGGTCCTGGATAAAGTTGGAGAAAATGTGGAACAAAACTTAAAACCATAAAAAAGACCAGGCTTACTGGTGAGATGGAGATGGATGGAACCCCAAGACTCTAGCTCTGAGTCATCCTTCAGTTCTAGAATTGAACTGAACCCCGTGGCTCAATTTTCAGCTAACGGTCTACAGGGGGGACAAGAACACTGGTGAGGCACATACACCATGAAATGGTCAACCGTCGAGATCAAAAGTCCAGCATTTAAGGACAAATTTCAGAAGTGTTAGGAAAGAAGGAGGAATGGAAACAAGAGAGGCAGGAGGAAGTGAGGTCAGGGGTTTGCAATCACTGAGATAAAGCAAAGCGTACGGTTTGTTGAATGTAAAATCGACGAGCTGTTCGGTAAACCTCCACTCAATTCACAATAAATGTTATACATATATATACAAATATAATATACATGCATCTGTTAATAGTAAATGTTAGCACACACCTCAGAATCTGAAGAAAAGCACACAAAACTATTAACAATGGCTACTCAGTGAAACTGACTTTTCATTTCTAATACTAGAGATTTGTTTAAAGTTTGAAAGTTTATAACTTACATATGTTATTATTTTATCAGGAAACAAAAATAGGATCTAAAGAAATTAAAGTGCTCTTGTCATTGACCCAGCAAATTCTAGCTCCTAATATATGGCAGGGCTTCAAAAAGTTCATGGAAAAATGAAATGAAAATATAATGTACTTTTTCCTCAAAGTTTTAGAAGCCCTTCATATAGATGAAAGTTTAAAATATAGGTCCCAGAAGACTGAAAACATATGTCCATGTAAAAACGTACACAGGAATAGTCTCAGAGCATATCTCATAACAGCCAGAAATAGAACTAATTCAAATGCCCATCATCATTTGTGCTGTTGTGGTCTATCCATAAGAGGTATGGGATATTGTTCAACATTCACTGTATGTATCTCCCTTCTCAATCCCAACTCCCTCCCTGGTCATGGCCGTGAAACCCTAGACAGGGAGGCTCACACTTGGGCATGGTCACAGACATTCTGATGACCTTTTACTCTGTTCAAAACGTCCAAGGGGCCAAAGCAGGGCCAATGACAAGCCAGAGTGTACCCGGCACACAGAGTGACCCTGCATGGTTTGTGTCATGCTGGGGAAAGCTGGGAAGTTAGCAGGCTAACAGCAAAATATGTGCCCCAGGAACAATGACTTAAACATTGCAGGAAGGCCAAGTTCAGGAAACCAAACATTTATTTTCACCCAACGTCAAGCTAAAATCACTTTTAAAAAGTAGTTAAGAATCAAAAAAATATTTCAACCATAAAACTATTAGAGGCATTATGCAATGCCAAAATATGAGTAGAACCGGTATCTAAGCTTGCTGCCAAACACTAACTGCTCAGCTCTGATCTTTGGCATGCAGAGAGCTCATCAGTCCGCTCTTTAAGGAAAAGCTTTCATTGTGGATTTGGAAGCTTCTCCCAGACGAATGAATGCCAACAAAACCACGAAACAAAGGCATACCATCTGTGGAGTGGTGGAATTGGGACAGAAAATAGAAAACACATCTTAAGTGGGTATTTTTATACCCACAAAAGTTAATATGGAAATTATACTATTTTTTCCCCTTTAATAAAGGTAGCATTAAAAAAACCTCACCTTATCTACATTTGATCCAAAATAAACTACATTTTTTTTATTTTTAGAAAATTAAAATTAGAACTGATTTAAAGTTAGCTATGGCATAGGTGTGAAAAGCAGAAGACACACTTCCAGTTGGTTTTATTTTGTCAAATTTTGCAAAGTAATTGAAGTTTCCCGTTAAAAACAGAACAAAAGGTTACCCAGGACGCACTGAGGCCACTTAGCTTCTGAGAGACAATGAGCAGTAAGTACAGTGGGTGCTGATTCGTTCGGGTTTGGTTTACCTTCTGGTATACAAGTATACCTCCAGGTTCTCGGAGGTCAGAGTCCCTGGGTGGTACAAACAGTTAAGCACTTGACTTCTAACCAAAAGATTAGTGTTCAAATCCACGCAAAGGTGCGTCAGGAGAGTAACCCGGTGATCCCCAGAAAAACCAGCCATCAGAAATCCTGAGTGTGTGAAGCAGAGTTTTACTCTGACACATGTGGGGTGGCCATGAGTCTAAATTCACTAAATTCCCTTGACTACTACTGGCTTGACTATTTCAAGGATTCTTTCCCTCATAGATGTAACTCTCTGAGTAAACTGGTGTTCCCAACTAGCAGAGAGATTTCTTCTGACCAGCTGGGGCTGCCCAAAGGAGTTATCCTATTGTGGGCAGAACTTAGAACCAAGGTAGCCTCACAGCTGGCTCTGTTTTGGAGTTAGCCCCTGAAATGGTTTAGCACTCTAGGATTATTCACATTGTGATTTCAAGGGCACGACTGTAAGGACGGCTGGAATAAACTTTCCCCAGTATAAACTCTAAGGAGCTCTGGAAGCGCAGTAGTTACATATCGGGCTGCGAACCGCTAGGTCAGCAGTTCGAAACTACCAGCTGTTCTGCGGGAGAAAGATGAGGCATTCTGCTCCCGTACTAAAATAACAAACCTTTCAGAGATTTGAGTCAAAGCATCATTTAGAAACAAGCATTAAACAACAACTACACCCTCTGCTCCTCCTTCACACACAAACGTACCATTACAAAGTCACTTACCTTCAGCAACACACTGCCTGCCGTTGCCAGTATAGCCCGCCACACAGCTGCAACAAAACCCAGTCGTGTAGTCCGTGCACTCTGCGTGCACAGAGCACTGGTGTCTGTTGTTAGCACACGTCTGCCTGGAATCAGTGTTGTAGCTGAAAACTAATCAGAGAAGACAGCATACCGGTTAGGATCTCATACGGCTCCAGCTGTGACACACAGATGTGCAAGCAGGCCCACAGAATTCACTCCTGTGTTCAGCAAACGAGGGGCAAGAGACTCCCCATGGAAAACTACGATCCGCTGCATGTAAACTCCCTAAACAGTAATCTCACTTAGCTACTCAAACAACCCAAGCAAATGGGTCTACAAGGTGTTAGAGAAACCACAAGGGTGACTTCTTCAAGATTGCTATGATTTAATGCATTGCTGGCTCAGTGTTTGGTTGTTATTAAGTGCCATTGAGTTGGTTCTGACCCATAGCAGCCCTGTATAGGGTTTCTGAGGAGCAGCTTATGAGCTTGAACCACCAACCTGGTAGTTCAAACCGACTTTGCAGTCCAGTGCATTAACCAAAGTGCCATACCAGGACTCCGCAATGTTAGGTTATTTGCCATTCAATATAAATTTTAGGATATTATTCATCTAGTACAGCCTGAAGTTTCTAGGGTATCTTTAAATATATATATACACATTTTTAATTTGTCTTCATTTCTCCCCAGGAGATGATGCAGAAGCTCTTACCCGTATATGCAAAAGCTGATTCGAAAGCCCCCTACTGTCACACCTGGTCTAAAAGCCTTTGATCCAAGGAACAAAAAGAAGCTCTCCCTCCTTGAAAGCTCTACCTCCCAGGTTCAGTTTATTAGAATTATGAACTAGCTCATTAAACTTAATAATCCAGAGCAAATTAATATGAGATGTAGTTCAAAAGCACAGGAGGGAATGGACTTTTAAAGTGGATAAAAATCGAATCTATAATTGACTGTTAGGAGTGAGGATAAAAGTAAACATTTAACCCTAGGTATGTTCTGAGAGCCCCACAAATTTGGGAGGGAATTTCCAGTGTATGAAAGAACAGCACTGGAGGCTAAGAACACTTGGACGCTGATCTGAACACGCGTGGGTGCCACTGCTTGCTTACGCTCCAGCTATATATCCAGCTTCTCAGAGGCTCCTTAAGGCCTGCATGTCCATGGGTAGTCACTCACATAACACCAGAAAGACACCATGGTCTACAGAAGACTGGCTTTTCTCATAAAAAATAGTGACAGAAACACATCTGCTTTCTATGTTAAAATCTAGGCTTTGTTGTTAAGTGCCATTGAGTTCTGACAAGTTCCAACCCACAGCGACCCTTTATAGGGTTTCCGAGGAGCAGCTGGCCTTTTAAACTGACCTTGCAGTTTCAAACAACTTTGCAGTCCAGCGCCACACAGGACTCCAAACAAATATCAAATACTATACAGACCTACACTGCTAAAGTAGAGGTAATTCTTGTTTAAATGTGGTTGTTTCTGAAATGAGAAATTCAGAGATGCTAAGCTAGGTCTCTGGTAGCGTAATGGTTACAAATCGGGCTGCTATCCTCAGGGTCAGCAGTTCGAAACTACCAGCTATTCTGCGGGAGAAAGATGAGGCTTTCTGCTCCCATAAAGATTTACAGCCTCAGAAACCCTGTACCGGGAGGGTCACTATGAGTCAGAACCAACTCCACGGCACATAACAACAAGATAGGGTGGAAACAGCAAAGACTAAAACTCAGCATCTGCAAGCAGACACACCCAACCCATCTCTGTACAAGGCAGATGGTCATGAGTGTGGATCGGAGGAGTCTAAGGACGTGTATCCATGTTCTCATCTGTCATCCAAACCACATACATGCCTCAGGTTTCCTTATACTACCTCTTGCCAGCAGATCTTGCCCATGCTTTCGTGCCACTCAATAAGAACAAAAATATATGACTATTCCTAAGCGATACTATTCCTAAGCAAACAAGTAATGACAAATAAATGAGTGAAATATGTGGATGGACTACAATTTTTTGAGGGTCTTTTGAAAAGTCCAGGATTTAAATGCTTGGCCCATCCCTTTTATATGATAGGATACAGACTTCTCACACAGACATGTGGCAGACCCGCAGGAATTCAGACCTGTTTTCGGGAAGTCAGGGGAAGAGTCACCACAGAAAACGACAATCCACTGCATGTAAACTACTTAAACAGTAATATGACTCTTCTACTCAAATAATCCAAGCAAAAAGGTCCACAAGGAGTTAAGAGAATTTTCATGAATTATAAGGTAATCTGAAGAGGAAAAAATGATGAGCACAGTTTAGTTTAAATATCTTTTATAAGAAAAATTTAAGCATGCTAGGGTTCAAACTAGCAAAGAAAACATACTGGAGTCCTGGTGTGGCATAGGTAGGATAAGCACGGAACTGTGAACTCTAAGGCTAGCAGTTCAAATCCACTAGCCACTACCTGAAATCGCTATGTTGTTAAGTGCTGTCAAGTCAATTCTGACCCATAGCGACCCTGTGTAGAGTTTCCAAGGAGAAGCTGGTGAGCTTGAACCACCAGCCTTGAAGTTCAAACAACTTTGTAGTGATGCATTAGCCCATAGCGCCACACCCTATACAGGGTTGTTATGAATCAGAACAAACTTAATAGCACTTTAACAACAGGGTTCAAACTTAATTTTAGTTTTCCTTAAAAGTATAGCATAAACTCTTATATAATACGTTCCACTAGAAGACAATGAACTGTGAACCAACTGTAAGAAGGGGATCCATGTATTCTTTATCTTCACAAACCAACTCGCAATAATATGACCAGGGAGGAAAAATAACCAACCATTCTAATTCCAAAGCCAAGAGGAAACAGTGCCAAAGATAAGCTGTTTAAACAGCCAAAGGAACTTCTCAAAATGTTTTTTCAGGTGGAAGAATAGATTTCTAATCTGAAAAGTCACAAATAAGAAAATCTGACTTTCAAAATACTTCTAAAGCACTTTCCTCTTTAAAAAAAAAAACAAAGAAAACACTCACCAATCTCCAAAGACAGTCTTAATCTCAAAAGGGTATTTGATTTTTGTGAAGCTACCAGGCCTATAGACCAAGCCTCTGTAATAATAAAACTTCAGCCCCTACTCCCTTAGGTTCTCGTGGCAGAAAGATGAGGCTTTCTGTTCCAGAAAGATTTACAGCCTCGGAAACCCTATACAGGGTCACTGTCAGTAGGCACTGACTCCACGGCACATAACCACCAACTACCACCCTTAGGTTCTCATCCATACAAATCGTATATAATGCATACAAATGACATTCCCTCTGTCATAGATTGACTTGTGTCCCCCAAAATATGTGTCAGCGTGGCTGGGTCATGATTCTCAGTGGTTTGGCAGTGTTGGCGTTACGTGATGATTCCCCCAGGATGTAACTGCTGTGTTCAAACAATGAGGATTAAGGGAGGAGTACCGCTCTGGGATAAAGCACTGGACCCGCAAAGTCGGTCTGAACCACAAGGTCAGTGACTGAAACTCACCAACCGCTCCTTGGAAACCCTATACAGGGTCACTATGAGACGGCACTGATTCAATGGCACCTAACGATGACAACAACAACACCCTTAATTCCATCACAACCCGGATCGATGTAAGGGAGTTTCCCAGGGGTATAGCTTGAAACATCTTTGATCTTACAAAGGTAAAAGGAGAGAGAAGTGAGCCAAGAAAGAAGGGCTGAGAGTCAAAGACATGTTTTGGATCTGAGGTCCCTTCATGTGAAGCTCCTAGTTCCAGGGAAAGACTGATGTCAGGACCCATGGAGAGTTCCAAGGCATGCTGGGCCTACAGATGAAAGGAGACAAGGACCTCTCCCCAGAGTTGACAGACAAAGAAAGCCTTTCCCCTAGAGCTGGTGCCCTGAATTGGGAACGTCCAGCCTTCTAAAATGCGAGAGAACAAATTTCTGTTTGCAAAAGCCAGTCTCTCAGGGTGTTCTGTTACAGCAGCACTCGATAACTTAGACACCTTCCAACAATACGTCCGTCGGAAAACCCAACTATCTGCATCAGTACCAAATGCAACTTAAAAGGCCTTACCAACTTCTGTTTCCTCAACTTCATCCACATCGATCACCTGTGGATGCTGCTGGGACACCCTCTCCACCGGCAACTGGAAAGACCTGGTCCTCCCCGATGGAAGTTCAGGGGGCCCCTCAGTAGCTGTGCGGCGTGCGGTGCGTGCACTCGGCACATGGTAGGTGTCAGTGCCTCTCCTTCCCAGAGTCTTGTAGGAGAAGGTTGTGGGGGCCGTGGTCTCCAGACCCAGCTCTGTCACTACATCATAATCTTCATCTTCCTCTTCATACTCTGCTTCCTCCTGGTTCACATCAGCAGGCACTACCCCACTGGCTGTGGCTGGACTCCCAATCTCAAACACCCAGACGCCCTGCTGCCCTGAATTGCTGCTCCTACGGGGAAGGACAGGCCTCTTAGAAACAAGCCAAAAACCCACAGAAAGCCCCCAGCCACCCAGCAGAAACAACACATGAGATTTGTGTCTATGGGACACCCAATGCCTGCTACTTCCCCTACAGCAGGGGTTAGAAAGTGAACTGTCTGGTCACGATGGAGCTGAGACATTCCTGGGGTGCTCTGTGAGGATGTACCCAAACAGGCTTACCCTTAGCCATCAGACATCCTAAAACGTGGCTCCTACTTATCACAGCTTAAATGTCCTAGCATAAGCAGCCTACTGATTATTCTCTCTCCATGGCAACATCTATGAGAAATCCCATCTCCACTAGCTGAAGGACCTCAGACAAGCCTGTTTACTTTTCTGTGTTCAGAGGGTATTGTTATTGTTAGACATTGTCAAGTCAGCCCCAATTCCTAGTGACCCCCATGAACAACAGGACAAAACTCTGCCTGGTCCTACACTATTGTTGCACTGTTATAATTATCAAACACAACATCCTAACATCTTGCTTGACACCATTTTTACTGTTCTTAAGTATCTGTGATTGGAAAATGCTCCTCTTAAAAATGATACAAAATAACCAGATAATAAGATGCAAAGAGAGGGTACTCAGAATAGGTCTTTCAAGAAAACAGAGCCAAAAATTGGGGTGAGCTGGAGAAAGAAGAACTCTTGCAGACCTAGGCCATCTAATCCATCTGCCTGTCTCAGACTCAAGTAACGGCAGTGGTGTGTAAGCGTGCTTATACTGACTCACGAGCCAATCGTTAAATTTGTGCTTGTGAACCAGTCATTGAGAAAAAATCAATTATACACTATTACAACTACATAAAGTCAATGAAAAACAAAGATCAATACTCAAAACTCTCCACATCCTCATTATTTTACTGTTCTCTTTATCTGCGCTGTTGACGTTATTTAAATAATTTTATCTGTCCAGTGGAAATAATCTATCACATTATACAGGAAGGCTTCAAAAAGTTCATGAAAAAAAAATCCCTTATTTTTTACTTCAGTTTTTCCACATTTTGAAACCTGCTCAAATACGTGTGCATAGTTTCTCAAGCCTATGTTGACTATATCACAGTTTAGTGATGCTGAGTCGGTTTCAACTCATAACGACCTTGTATAGGGTTTCTGAGGAGTGGCTAGTGGATTTGAACTGCCAACCTTGGGTCCAGTGTTGATCCTACAGCGCCACACCAGGACTCGTAGTATCACACTAGTAACTTGGAATTTGCCATGGTAAGAGTATTTACACCACAGAAATAGGCAAACACTATAAATCAGGCCACCTGCCACCAAGCACCCAGAAAATAGGCTGTTATAAACTTATAAGCATGCCGCTAAGTAAGAGGCAGGTGAGTTTTAGGTTAGATTTGACAAATGGTGCGGGGAGACTTTTTTTTTTAACAGAATAAAGAGAGAAGAAATTTCAATTTTAGAAAAACTAGTCCTCGTTTCTCCTCCTTTTACTAAGTTCTTCAAAATAATCTGAGGGAGCACTGTTTCTGCTGTAAGAACAGTAATCTCTGAAGGGGTATTTCTGCCCCAGGTTCACAGGAAGACATAGGTTGGAATAACTCATTTCTAACTTCATACTAAGGAATCCTGGTGATGTCGTTGGTAGTGGGTTACTCGGGAAGAAGATAAGGCTTTCTGCTCTTGTAAAGATTCACAGCCTCAGAAACCCTACACAGGGTTACTTTGAGTCAGAACCAACTTGACAGAACACAATAACAACATTATACTTATAGGGGAAATGATAAAATTATTTAAAATATGGATGATACCTAAATAGGTAAGGATATCTTTTCATCCTAACACTATATTCCCTCAAGTTCATCAGAAAAAAAAAAAAACGAATAATATAAAAACTGGATGCAAATTGATAATCTGTGGGAAGATTTTTAGGTAACATCCTATAATGTTGATAACAGTATCCTTATGAAATGATAATCTTATTAGGGGGAGATTTATTGAAGAACAAAGACAGCGTACTTGGCCAAGTTTTCAATTGATTCCCTGTCATTTGCAAAGATGTTGTAAGCGCCATTGGTCTTCCATAGGAATCCCACTAAACCTTGACTGAATGAAACCACAGCAGGAAGCTGGCCCTCGTCCTTCTTTGAGGCTGTTGTATAGAACTGCAGACCGTCTTCTGGATACAGGAAAATGGCGTAGGAGCTGGAATCAGAGGAGGCCAGAACAGCCTGGAATGTATTTCTCTGTGAAGATGAGTTAAAATTCAGTTACTCAGGCTTAGCAAGAGAATGGAAGTTAATAAATCAATACGGATGTATCTGTAATCTTTAAAATAGAAGATATTTGTTAGATATTATCAAGATGAAAGTATGAAGAGTAGAAAGAACACTAGACTAGGTATTCTGTAGATCATAAGACTAGCTGACCTTGATAGATCTTCCAGTTAAGTGACATCTAAGATTTCCAATCATTCTAATTCTAGCTCACTGTGTTCCTCCCATAGGCCTTCTTTCCATCCTTTGATAATTCAGAGCTGTTTCCTTTCTTGAAGTGTTTATTCCAATTCCCAATCACCACTCACTCAATTCTCAAAGAACGCCCCCATAAAGGAAAATTTCATTGGAAAGAAAGACTGCATGGTCCCTGCACTTAACAATTTACTGTCTAGATAAGAAAAGTGTGCTGTGAACCAAACATGGCAACACATGGGGCTGGATTCTACACTAGGGGTCTGTGCAAAGAGCCAGAGGAACTATGGGAGAACATGGCTAGCACTGAGGAGCATGGAGGCAGCAATAGTTGGTCAAGGCCTCACAGAAGGGTTGACTCTGAATGAACAAACAAGAGTCTGCCACCTGTCAAAAGGGTCAGGGAAAGGACACTGCATAGAGAAAGGACAGCGTGCGCAAGAGACTACAGAAAGAAATAAACAGAAGAAGCAGGCGCATGACCAGGGAATTGAAATAATTTGATACAGCTGCTGTTCAGGGTGGGTGGAGGAGTCACAGAAGGTTAGACCTCAGAGAGAGCGAGGGCTCAGAACCAAGGCGCTCTCGGGCGTTTATCATGCAAGGAGTACTAAAGAATTTTGTGATTTTAAGCAATTATTTTTCTAATAAGGCACGCAGATACAAGTTGGAAAAGCAAAATATGCCACACAGGTTCACTAAAGACCTTCTCAAAGTGTGTTGTGTGAGCTGTAATGTGTTTTATTTGAGGGGGGGGGGCGGGAAGATGGCCCTAACGATGTGAACCTTACGCAGACCCTTTGACTACAGGACCTCTCTGTGTGACTGTCTAAAGACGCTTTTCTCGGAAGAACTATCTTCCAGAACTAGTGTTCTGTAGTAAGCACTTTGGAAATAACCCCATTTAAGTGCCGAGAGTTTGTACTTTTAAAGTTTCTCTCGACCCTGCACTTGTACAAAAATTAAATAAGGTGAAGAGAATTAATTTTCCAAGAAAACTTGAGGCATGACCTAAGGTCACTTCAGACCTATCGTGGTTTCTCAGCCTACCCAGCTATTATCCTTCCATCCAAGCTCCACAGCGTTTCCTTAACCCTGAGCCCATCTGGACCTCAATGGCCCCAACTCCTTTTCTCAACTCCTCATGGTGCAAATGATTTTATCTCCAAGTAGATTGTGGGGACTTGTCATCATTTCTTCACACCTCATCACTTCATATTAATGAGCTCTCTGTTTAATTGGTGCTGTGGGCTAATGCATTAGACTGCAAGGTCGTTTGAACTGCGAGGTCGGTGGTTAGCTGCTCCTCAGAAACCCCATACAGGGTCGCTATGGGTCAGAATCAACTCGACGACATTTAACAACAACAACAGTTTGATTAGAAACTACCCCTCCCTGCCAACAAAAGGAAGGTGATACATTTTCAAACACACATAGGAGTTGTTACTTATCAACCCTACTCTTGTCAGAGAGCAGTCTTCTCAAGAATTTGCATCCTTTGTGTCTAATCATCATTGACACATAGGTTGAGAAAGTCTGTAGCAGATACATTTCTGAACTTTCCAACCTGCAAGGATCAACCCAGTGGATTTTACTTTGGATACCCTGCCTTTCCCCAAAGCACAGGCATGGTGTACATCAGAGTAGCAAGGACCAGAAGACAAACGAGTGTGAGCCCAGTCTGTAAACTATTTTCACTGGTGTTGAGTGCTCACCTTGCCTTCCTGGGCAGGGTCCTTGCTGGGCCCTTGGTAGGGGGCCACAGATTCCCAAGTGACAACCACCACACTCTTGGGCTGGAAAGCGACTTCTGGGAACCCTCTCTGGACACACACTGCTGCCAGCTGAGCGACAGACGGGGAGAAGTCCTCACGATAATAAACCTTGCCAAAGCCGTCTGTGGTGTCCAAGTCAGCAAGGAACGGTGCGATGGCCCCAAAGGTCGGTGGGAAGAGTCCGGGATGGGATTCCTTTGCTGGGGGCTCACTCACGGCGATGAGACCATTTGTGGTGACCTGCACAAAACCCAGTGTGGTTAACAGGAATGCAGAGAAGACTGGAACCCACTCACTGAGGGTTGCCACCAGGCACCCAGACTCAGTTAAATACAACAGAATCTGGGAATCACATTATGCCAAACTTGACAACTCAGCATTCTTTTTCTAGGCAGCACGGCCTAGGGGAAAGAGGACTGGACAAGAATCAAAACTCTTCCGATCATGGATGCACCTGAAGAACATAATGCTGAGTGAAATTAGTCAATCACAAAAGGACAAATATTATATCAGATCATTACTGTAAAAGCTTCAGAAAAGGTTTCCAGACTAAAAGAAACATTCTTTGATAATTACCAGGGATGGGAGAGAGGGGAGAATAATTCACTGGCTAGAGGGTAGATACATGTTACCTCAGGTGATGGGGAGAATGACACACAAGAAGAGGGAGGGTAGCATAAGAATGATGAAGACAGGTAGAGACACAGGGAGGTATGCAAGGGCTAAAGGGGATGGAGGTAAACAGTGATCTATACACAGCCCTGAAATCACAGTGTTCTGGGCGTACATACATGGGGATAAGGAAGGAAGAATGGAATATATATGCATATATTGTTGTTATGTGGCGTCGAGTCGGTTCCAACCAATAGTGACCCTGAGCAGGGTTTCCGAGGCTGTAACTCTTTACGGAAGCAGAAAGCCTCATCTTTCTCTCACGGAGCAGCTGGGAGTTTTGAACTGCTGACCTTGTGGTTTGCAGCCTGATTCGTAACCACTACGCTACCAGAGCTGCATATATGCACATATATCCCACAAACATATAAGAATTTGAAAGCTATTTGTACATGGGTACCTACCTTTCCTGCAAACACAACTACAAATGTGGCTTAAGCAAATGTGGCAAAGGGGTGAAAAGGCCTTCCTAGATATTATCGAACATCTTCAGGCAATGGGTTGATGGGCCTGGGGTTCAGGACCATAGTCTTAGGGACCACCATGGTCAGTTGGCATACCCTAGTCTACAAAAACAATATTCTACATTGTACTTGGGTGAGTAGCATCTGGGATCTTTGATGAGCGACCATGTAAGATGCAGCTATTGGTCTCTCCATGTGTGGAAGAAAGATGCTTGGAATCAATTATTCCAGTGGCCTAATGGAACAGTGACCATCTGTCTCCATGACTCTGGGACCAGAAGAGCTAGACGGTGCCTGGCTACCACCACCAACTGCCCTGAAAGGGATCCAAGTAGAGGGTCCCAGAGAGTGAGCAAACATGTGGAACAAAACTCAAAACTATGTAATAATAATAAAAATAAAAGACCAGGTTTACTGGTCAGAAAGAGACTGGAGGAACCTGAGACGATGGCCCTTTACATCTGGAAAGGAACTCACCCCTGTAGCCCAATTTTCAGTGAGCAGTAGCTAGGTTTACAGAGGGGACAACAACACTAGTAAGATATGCTCACCATGGAATGGTAAAACATTCAAAAGCAAAAGCGCAACATTTCCCTAAGGGCACAGTTGAGAAGGGACGGGAAGGTGGGTGGAGTGGAACTAGGAAACACAGGGAGGAAATGGGATCACTGTCATTGAACAAGGGGATTGGAATTATTGAGATGAAACTAAGAGTATGATTTGTTGAATGTAAAACTGATGATTTTATCTGTAAGCCTTCACTCAATTCACAAAACAAGAATCGGAGGCCTGATTCTGCCATCTATCAACCATGGGACCTTGGACAAGGAAGGGGCTCAGGTTCCATCATCTGTGCCTTCCTTACCACAAATAAGACAATGGGAAAACACATGAGAGGCAGGAGCAAAGCACTGTTCAAACATAAGTCATTAGAACAGCCTTCATAATGGTTATCCTTAGGTATCAACATGGTATGAAGTAATGCAAGTACAAACTTGGGACAGGACAGGCTACCTTCCCAACTAGAATGGCTACTCTCAGAAACCCGGAAAATAATAACTATTGGCTAAGACGTGGAGAAATTGAAACCTTTATGAACCACTGGGGGGGGAGGGGGGGGAGAGGAACCTGTGCTTTTTCTAAAAAAGTTAAATATAGAATTACCATGTTGTTGTTTTTGTTATGTGTTATTGAGTAGGTTCCAACTCAAGTAAGCAGCAGCTGATTTGTTTGAACCAACCTGGTGGTTAGCAGTCTGGGGCTTATCCTACAACACCACACGAGGATGAACCAGCAACTCCATTCCTAAGTACACACGCAAAAGATCCAAAAGCAGGAATGCAAACAAACACATGGACACCAATTTTCACTGCAGTACAATTCACAAGAGTCAAAAGGTGCAAACAATCTGGATGCCCATCAGTAGGTGAGTAGATAAACAAAATGTAGTATATATGTACCATGAAGTATGATTCACACATAAGAAGAAACGAAGTCCTAACATGTTATAGCATGGATGCACCTAGAAAACACCAAGGGGCTTCAAAGAATTCAGGAGAAATGGGAATGAAAAGAAAATGGAAAATCTCCATGAAGTTTTTGAAGGCTCCTGGTATTTTGCTGAGGGAAATAAATCAGATGTAAAGTGTGATCACACTTATGTGAAAGATCCAGAAGAGGTGAATGGCGTATTTGTTGTTAAGTGCCATCAAGTCTGTTTTGACTCATAGAGACCCTATCTAGGGTTTCTGAGGAGCAACTAGTAGGTTTGAACTGCTGACCTTGCAACTGGCTGTCCAGTGCCACACCAGAATTCCTCATGGCATACAGACAAAAGTTATTTCTGCTTACTTTTGGGCTAGAAGGCCGTGGCTCAGCCAATGCGGCCTCACAGCAGCCCTAACAGCGCGGAACTGCACCATGAGGTATCCAAGGCTGTAGTATCTATGGCGCTGACTGCTCCGTATTTCTCCCATGGAGAAAGAAGCTAGTGGATGTGAACCACTAACCTTCTTTTGCAGCTGAACACTAAACCACCACACCAGGGCTCCTCAAAAACCCAAACCCAATCCACTACTCTGGAATCGGCTCCCACTCACAGTAACCCTGCATAGGGCTTCCGAGGCTATAAATCTTTATGGGATCAGAAAGCCTCATGTTTGTCCCTGAGGCTAGCAGTCCAGTGCTTACCCTACAGCTCTCCACCAGGGATACTGAATTTCCACTTGGAGTAATTTCCACTTGGAGTAGGAAATAAATTAGTAATAATCTCACAAAACGGTGCATGTATATAGTGCAATCTGAATTGTAAGGTTAAAGGTCAAACTCCATATA